AAAAAACCACTTTTTTCCCATAAAAATTGGAGAAAAATCACAATGTTTGAAGAAAGGACCACCTTTGGAATCTTAAAAATCTCTTGAAATTATTGTCGAGCTTTATAAAGTTTGCCCCAACCCTTGTATGTCTTATCTTCAATACCTCCCTAACTGTTCAACAAAATCTGATAAAGTAACGGGTAACGTTTGATATGTTAGAAGCTGACCAAAATTTTTTTTCCAAAATTTGTGCTGTAGATTTCACAATGAGGTCCTAATGTCCTAGAAGGCATCCTGCCTTTCGATGTGAACACCCCTGGAATGTCTTTTCCTTCTTCTTGACAGAGTATAGGCTAACCAGTATACAATTTTTTTTTTTTGGTCAAAATCTGTGCTTTGGATTTCTCCTGTTGAGGTCCTAACATCCCATGTGCTAGAAGGCGTTGTGCCGTTTGGTGTGAACACCCCTGGAATATCTTTTCCTCGGATATCTTTCGAACTTATTGACAGGATTTGATAAAATTACAGAGAATAAATTGAACGGTTATAGGCTAACGAATATACAATTTATTTATTTATTTGCCAAAATCTGTGCTGTGGATTTCTCCTATTGAAGTCCTATTTTCTCATGTACTAGAAGGCATCCTGCCGTTTGATGTGAACACCCCTGGAATGCCTTTTCCTTAGATATCTTCCGAACTTATTGACAGGATTTGATAAAATTACAGAGAATAAATTGAACGGTTATAGGCTAACGAATATACAATTTATTTATTTATTTTTGCCTAAATCTGTGCTGTGGATTTCTCCCATTGAGGCCTTTATATCCCATGACCTAGAAGGCATCTTGCCGTTTGATGTGAATACCCCTGGAATGTTTTTTCCTCGGATATCTTCCAATTGACAGGATTTGATAAAATTACAGAGAATAAATTGATCAGTTGTAGGCTAAACAATAAACAATTTATTTTTTTATTTGCCAAAATCTGTGCTGTGGATTTCTCCTATTGAAGTCCTATTTTCCCATGTACTAGAAGGCATCCTGCCGTTTGATGTGAACACCCCTGGGGAATGTCTTTTCCTTGGATATCTTCCAAACTTATTGACAAGATTTGATAAAATTAGATAGAATAAATTGATGAGTTATAGGCTTACCAATATAATATTTTATTTTTTTAATTAAAATCTGTACTATGAATTTCTGCCGTCGAGGTGTGCTAAACTTGACGTCCTACCTTATTTTGTGGACCCATACTAGGATTTTTTTGCAAACTTTATGTCCTGCCTTCTGTTTTGGAGTCCCCTAAGACATAATTATAGGCTTCATTTGTTGAAGAGTCCTAACATTAAAACCACCCTAAATCTCCAACACTTCCACAAGATCCATATATCCTTCTGATGATTATAATTAAAACAACTACTACAAATAAAACACTTGTTTTGCATAAAAATTCTGAGAAAAAACCGTAAAGTTTGAAGGGACTATCCTATGGATCTGAAGTAATCTCTTTATCACTTGAAATTTAAATTATTAAGTTTCATTCTATAAAGTTTGCCCCTTGGATGGATTTTTCTATCCTCTTGCCCTAAAAACCAATATAATTTTATTATTAAATATTTATCTCTCTCACAAACACACGCAAAACACATATTTTGCATAAAAATTAGAGAAAAAATTGTCAAGTTTGGGAATTTTATGTATATCTTTGGTTGTTGGTAACTATTTTTCTGCATAAACATTAAAACCTCAGAATCTTAAGTTTTTCTCTTTCTAGAGGAGATAGCGCAGAATGCTAACATGCCCTTTATTTGTTCTCTTGCACTCAAGGCAAATATAATGTATTGTTAACTATTTTTTTTCTGTATAAACGTACAGAAAACCCTAAAATTTCATACTCTTAACTGTTTCTCTTTCTAGAAGCAATAGCCTTAGAAGCTTAACATGGTTAAAAAAAAAATAGACCAAATGTGACTTAATGAAAAAAGATCAAAACTGTCTTTCGGAAAATTTAAACTGCTCATAATTTTTCAAATTGAAAGCTTGCTAGGCAGTTCCTCGGGTCGACTTGAAGCCTCCTATATAATATTCATACCTCCTCCGGCCGTTTGTCATAATCAAAAACCTTTCGGGAAGCGGTAGGAGACAAAAAGAGGAGAAAGGGCTAGGTGTGAAAGACGTGGGGGCCCTAATTGGCCCGGCAATGACCTGGGTCAACCATTAATAACACATCAGTGCCGAGAAGGCTTGTCCAGAATATGCAAATCTGATCAAAAGGGGTTCTATTGGGTTGTCCGGAAAATAATGCAGGATTTTGGTATTAAACAAAAAAAAAGAAACTAGTTACTTTAAAGCAATGTTCTTTAATCAAAATAATTTCCCATACTCTCAATACATTTCTCCCAACGTGTTGGTAACTTATTAATTCCGTCTGAGTAGAATTCAGAATTTTTAGAATTGATAAAGTCAATAAATGCATTTTCCAGTTCCGTTTGATTTTTGAATATTATGTGTTGTAAGTAGTGGTCCAGGTGTCTAAAAAAATGGTAGTCAGTAGGCGAGAGGTCCGGAGAGTAGGGTGGGTGAGGCAAAGTTTCATAGCCAAGCTCCAATAATTTTTGTGACGTTACACGTAACACATGTGGTCGAGCGTTGTCATGCAACAAAATGGGCCCTTTCCGATTGACCAAAGAGGGCTTCATTACTGCCAATTTCTGATGCATGGTATTAATTTGGTTACAGTATGATTCAGCATTGATGGTTTCGCCAGGATTTAAGAAGCTGTAGTGTATTAAACCAAATGAAGCCCACCATACCGTAACCATTACCTTTTTTTGATGAGTTGGGGGCTTTGGAGCTTCTCCTTTGTCGAGCCACTGTCCAGAACGTCTAGTGTTATCGTAGAGAATCCACTTTTCGTCACATGTAACAATTCTGGCCAGAAATGGGTCATTTTTGTTTCGACAAAGAAGTGATGCACAAACATCAAAGCGCTGATTTTTTGGCGATCGTTTAATGAGTGTGGAACCCAATTTTCGAGTTTTTTCACTTTTCCAATCGCCTTGAGGTGGTCAGCGACGGTCGTTTTACTGACTGTGAGTTGCTCTGCAAGTTCTCGAACAGTTGTTTTGGGGTTTTCTTCCACCACTGATCGCAGAACATCATCATTAAGAGAGGAAGGCCTTCCACGACCTTCTTCATCTTCAAGGCTGAAATCTCCCTCCCGAAATTTTTTAAACCACCTTTGCACAGTGCACTCATTAACACAACCCTCGCCCCAGACTTGGTTAATGTTTCTAGCCGTTTGGGCTCCGCTTCGGCCGAGTTTAAACTCGTAAAAGAAAATCGTACGAAATTCTCGCTTTGACATTATAAGGATGACTGAATTATTTCCAAGTAGCGGAATGCTACAGAGGTAAACAAACAATATCATTTGGAAGAGGATTAATAAGTGTTGACATTCATACAAATGAGTAATCCTGTAAACGTAAACAGAATATTTTATATAGATTTTTTTTAATGAAAACTTAAAATCCTGCATTATTTTCCGGACAACCCAATAATTAGACCATTGGAAAAAAGTTTTATGCTGCATTTATATCCCTTTTTAAAAACTGCCCAGAGTGATTTTATTTAATGAGCCACAGACTCAAAAGACATTTAGACCTTAACCATAATATTGCTTGTTTTTACATATAATTTGTTGGTATTCCCATTAATCTAGGGGATAACAAAATCCCAAAAGGCAGGAAACAACTCAGATCACTTATGTTACAACTTAAATTGACGTTCTATGGGTAGTGGTATGGAATTAATTTATAAATAAACTTCCCGGTGATAAATGAACCTGGCTATATTCCATCATGTCATCCCAAAAGTGGCAAAAGAGGAGGTGTTTAGATGAAGATAAATAGGCGGAAATTTATAAAAAGGTTATGATGCGTCTTGCTTAATTGCCGTGTAGAAAATAAATTAATTTGTTAATGTATCAAATGTCTTAGAAAAAGCATGAATACTCTTTGAGAAAAGAAGAATAAGCGTGTATTAAAGAAATAGTTTAATCTTGGGAAAATATTTAAATGAAGAGAAAGAGACTAAATTTATAAAAACCATGACATTACACAAAAGTAAGAAAGTAGATTAAACTGTCCCAAGTTATTAAGGCAAAGAGTTAAAGGGTGTAAAGGGTTTTTTCTATTTTCTCTACAGCAAAATACAGAGCCAAAATTCTAAAAACATTCTCTATAAAAAGTAGAATATATAATTTTGTATGTAGCATTTGTAAACGTCCTAAAACAAGAATAAATTGTTCAGTTGTTCAAATAAAAAAGAAAAATGCAAAATTAGAACTTAAAGACTATAAAGGTTTTGCGTTTTATTTTTTAACTTTTACATGATTTCAGCTAATGAACCAAACGAGACAAAATTTTGAAAAGAGCACATAGCTCTTTCATAATAAATTTACAAGAAAGTTACACTTGAAAGAATGTTGAAATATAAATTAAATGTACAAAAGGAAGAATAACTAATGAAACAACAATTGTTCTAGCTTTATCCTTAATCGCTCTATGTTGGCTTTAAGTAAAACTGTCCAAATTTGTGTGTGCTGTGGCCCAAAAAAGAACAAAACTGATAAAAGAAGTTGTAAATAGACAAAATAGGCTAGATAGCTTCTTTCGCAAATTTTCTCTGGAAAAAATGCTGGAAATCTATTTATTTCCTCCATTTTAAGCGCACCGCATCAAGAATATACTCTATGATTGAAGGAAACTTATAAGACAAATTAATACAACTCTGCATTCTATGGATTCACTCCTCAATATTAAAATAGTGATTTTAGTCATTTTTCTATAATTCCTTTAAATTAAGAAACTATTTTTCTACAAGCATTTGTGATTTGAAATGTTGAAAACTTTTTTCACAACAGTTTTATCTCTTATAGTTAATTGTTGATAAATGATTTTTCTTGTAATTAATTTATTGAATTAACGTGTTTAATATTTTTCTCCCCGTTTTACAGGCCAGCAGAATATTGCGATGCCACCAAGGCCTTCAAGCGGTCAGTCCGACTCTGGGAACGGTCCCACTCGGATGAGCCATTCTCCAATGGCCAACCAGGGCGGTTATCCGGGAGGCGGGCCGCATATGCACAACTATAAAATGGCACCTCATCAAATGGCACCACATGCGCCTCCTCCCCAGTCGCAGCAGATACCACCTTATTCGCCTCAGGCGCCCCTTCAGCATCAATATCCCCAACAAGGTATTTTAGCAGTATGAACATTTTTAATTATAACTGAAATAGGTGGCTTGTGTCTTTTTCTTATGTTTATTTACATAACAATACAAAAAATTTTCCGAATGTGACACGATCTTATCTAATCGTTATTATTACACTTACAGTTTCTGAAAATAATAACTTTAACATTATAAATCATTTTTTTATCCTCTTTTATTATTATTTATTATTTTTATTGGTTACGTACATATTTCCTTAGCTTGTCATTTTTGTATAAAATGCAAATTATGTCAAATTATGTCCCATACTTCAATATTTCAGGAGAACTGATCTATCAATTTATGTGAAAATTCTGTAAATAATATTTAACAACTGACATTTTTTTTTAAATTTCTGAAGGTAATTATGGTGTACGAGGAGGCAGTATGGGATATGGTAGTCCTGGGTATCAGGGTCCACCGGGCGGGATGCCCCCACAGTCACAGTATCCGCCGCGAGGACCGATCCCCAACCATGTACAGTACCCTCCATCTCCTTATCAGGTAAGATGAATCGGTATACTTTTTTCTTTTTTTTTACAAGCATTCTGCTCAATTCTGAACGTGTCTTTTTAGCACAAAGTCGGCTACAGCGGCAACATGCCTCCAAGCCCAGGCAGCTACAATTCCCACAGCGGTGGTACAATGGGCCCTCCGGCACCACACCACCCAGGGATGCCACCACCTCCTCCTCCACACCATGATGGTCCAATGCCGCCACCACCACCAGCCTCGACTCCAACACATGAGGTGCACGATTCATCAGTCACAACAACAGTAGCCGGTTAGTATTTTTATCATTTCAAAAAATCTATAGTTTATATTTTAGATAAAATAATCTAAGAATCTATAGTTTATATTTTTCTAATAATTCTGGTCTGTACATTCTCACTGTTTTGTGAAATCACTGAAGATCCAAGATGATAAAAATTGACAAAATTACATATTATTACTTTAACCTCTTTTAAAAAGTTTTATGTTATTAATTATTTTATTAAGGATCTGGCATGAGCAATGTTACACCGAGTCCAGGTGGACCAGCTCCTGGCAGTGTAACATCAATAGTAACTACTGGTCCAGATGGAGCCTCATTAGACGAGGCATCACAACAATCGACATTATCAAACGCTTCAGCTGGTAAGTTTTTTTTTTCCTTTCTTATAACTGCATCGTTCGACCAATTTGTAGTTTTCATTTATCAAACAGCATCCGGTGATGATGGCAACTGCACTCCAGGCAAGAGTAGAAAAGAAGGCGGCGGGGGCAGTGGAGGCGGTAGCGGCATGATGGGCTACCACAGCCACCCCACTACTCCGCAGAGCACTGTGCCATCCCCCGGTGCGGCAAGCCTTAACTCGATGCACGAAGAGTACCCTCCTGACCACAGCCCGACTTGGCCGAGAACGCCAGCCAGTCCGGTAAGTCCACATCAAGTCTTTTAATCATACAATTTAACTTTAAATCTTATTTATTATCCCCCTATATATGATTTTGAAAAAAAAGTTATTACTGTGCCCCCCCCCCCCCGATGATATATAATTAGTTTTTAGATTTTATAAGTGTTTTTATCTTTATGCGTTGTATATATATTATTCTTATATTTCCATGTTTTCTTTTTAAATGTGCATGAGCAGTGTTTTATTATTTTTTTATTATTATTTTATAAATGTGTATTCAATTGACACTTTTATCCTTTTACGTTAAGAAAACACATTACAATTGCTTTTCACATTTTTATTTTTAAACACAGAACCTCATTTTTAGATAATATCTGATAATATTTTTTCCCCTTTAAATATTAAAAACAGTTACAGTTTCATACATTAGATTTCAACTTCACCTCCCCCTTTTTTTATATGTGTTTATGTGCTTATCAATGTTTTTTTAACTCCCCCCCTCACAAAAATTGTCTAAAGTTGAGAAACACAATTAATTGAATTATGTGGCAAGATAGAAGGTATGAATCTTGTGTGTATTTGTTTGATTCCAGGTGTTTAACAGTCATGTCCCCCAAGATCTGTACAGGCCGAAGGTTAATAGTTTTCCGTACATCTCACTTTGCCTGCTTTGTCTTGAATGCTATTGTAACAACCGCCCCGTGTCTTGCGCTATCCCGTACCGAGAGGCAAGGATGGCCCCAACGGAAAAGCGCAAGTCACGGGCACAATTTTTTTTTTAAATTTTTTTGTTGAGATAATTATTTAAAGAAAACAATAGCTTCCAGAGGTCATATATGATAGCACCGTGTGCTTTGGCATGCCTATGCCTCAAATTTTGATAAAATTTCATGCATTTTTTTTCTTTTTCTTTGGAAGGGGATTGTTATTAACATCCATTTCTTTTATACATAACAACCCTAAAACTTCATTTTACATGAAGGATTATTTTTAATGTTAAAAAGTTTATAATAGTTTCTGGGTTATTATGTATGAAAAGTGGTGTATTTTGAGGCGAGCCACTAGCAATTTTGCATTCGAGATCTAGGTTTTTTAGGTCTTTAGGAAGGTTAGAATGAGAAATTTTAAGGAGAAAAATGCATGTCTAATGCTTTAAGCATGATTTTTTTTCTTTTGTTGTGTCTTGGCTCTATTAATTTCTTTTTTTTTTGTTTCATTTTATTTGTTTTTTATATTTTAATCACTTTTTAAGAAGATTTTAATTAATCGAGGTTGAGGTGGGCATGTGTTTCAATTTTGTCATTTTACAGAAGAAAACTGTGAAATGGCACAAAAAGGAAAAAAGAAATTGTGGGTTTGTGCAAAGCCGCATGGATTTTCATTTTCACTGCAGCATGCAACTAAACATACAGATTATATATTTAAAATAAGAAAAAAAAAAAGAAGTAAATTACAAAAAAAAAAATACTTTCTCTTTTCTCGACACTTTAATAAAATTAAATATGAGACTCAAAAGTATTAAACTTTATAACTGGATTACTCTATATCTACCAGAATCATTTTAATTTTGAGCAACATTATATTAAAAAAAAGAGAGAGAGATAGGAGGAAGTAAAAAACAAACTTTTTGAGTGATTTAAACAAAAAACAATTTAGTTATTTTTAGTAATTAAAATTTAAAAAAATTAAATCCATATTACAGTTTTTGTAAATAGTCTGAAGTGAGTAAATTAACCCTTTAAAACCATTTTTTAATTTTTTTAATCTTATTTTGAATTAACAGTTTGAATTGTGTTTTCAGAAGCAGCATGATAGTTTAGGTAAGCTGTATGAAATGGACGAGGCCCCCGAGCGCAGGCTGTGGCTTGACAAGCTCCTTCAATTCATGGAGGAGCGCGGTACGCCGATCACCGTCTGTCCGACCATCTCCAAGAACCCCCTTGACCTCTTTCGGCTCTACCTTTACGTCAAAGAGAGGGGGGGCTTCATGGAGGTATGCAAGGTGCAGTGTAGTTCCATCATGGTACCTGGTTTCTTTTCCTAGATTATAAGTTTTAACCTTTTTTTTATCAGTTCTTTTAATTTCTTTTTTCAATTTATTCTGATTCAAGTGGGATTTATTGCATGCCCAGGGGGAGAAAAAGTGTTTCTTTTATCTCAGTAAATACTTTTTCCTCCTTGTTTCATTGTTTTCTCTTTGGGCTTGGATTTTATTTTATTGTTTTGAACTAACTTTAATTTTTTTCTATCTTTTTTGTCATTGCTTTTTGCACCTTATGCCATATTTTTTTTAATATATTTGATTAACTTTTTTTCTTCTTTGTGGAGGAATTGGTGTTTTCTTTACCCGCAAACTTCCCTGCTTCGCGTACCCTCAAACCTCCCTGACCCCACCTGAAAAAAAAGAGAACTACAGTTTCACTGCACATTTATTTACTTAATTATAATTATATAATATTTTTACAATTTAAAAAAAGAAGATAAATATGTTTTTTTAATTTTTTATTTGGCACTTGGGTTTAGTTTTTACCCATTTCACTTGAAATCGTAAGATTTTTCTTCTCCATTTACAGCAGCTATACTTTTCTTTTTATAATGTTACTCTAAAAAGAATTTAAGCTAAAATCATCCCTCATAAAATTATTTATATTATTTTTATTTTTCAATTTTATACACATTTCTTGAAATTACATATAAAAGTGGTATGCGTATTAACAAACCTAGTGCCTTTTTTTTTAATGATTTGTATTATTTTAATTTAGAGCTTTTGATTTGTTTAAAGAGTTTATTTATTTAATTAAGCTGCACAGTTTAGCACATTCAGTTATTTAAATTTTATTTTTTAATATATTATAAAGCACATACCCCCTTTGTTTCAAGCCAGAAAAATGTTGCTTTTGTGTTCGTTTTTTAAACTTATATTTTTAAAAGATCAGTCTTGCTTTATTTGTTTCTTTCCTTGATTTTTTTTTCTGTTGAATTATTAGATTTTCAGTAGTTGAGTCACAAAGTAGTTTTTACGTAGTTTAAAGCTTTTTTTATTTATTTATTTTATTTTTAGTGAATTGTGTTTGTTTTTTATTTATTTTAGTTTTCTTAATAATTCTTCATCTTAAAAAAAAATTAATATATTGTTGTAATGTTTTTTTTCTCTAAAGCAAAGTTGCAGCATAAACGGCTGATCCTGCGTACCAATCAACTTCAAAAACAACGCTAATAATGTATTTTCTAAAATAATTAATTTTATTCTTTTATTATTCTAAACGAAGAGCATAAGAATTAATAGTTTTTAAATTTTTGTTATTTTTTTAATGCAAACATAAACTAAAATAGAAATATGTTTATATTAATCTTTTTAATAACAGTCATTGCAACACGGTTCGTATTTTTTCTCTCTCTCTCCTTTTTTCCACAATATAAATTTATCAGCACAACACAGTGAATCATAAGAAAAACCCTCAAGCTTTTATAATAAAAAAAAAAAAAAAAAATTAACGATTGAGTCTTGATATACAATAGGTGATTTGTTAATTTAATAATAAATATTTTTCACTTATCTCCTCAAGAAGTGCAACGGTTTGATCCCACAAAACGGTAAATCTTGTTTAAAAATTTATTGCTGGTGTTCATTCTTCCCTTTAAAACTTACATTGAGTGGATATTGATTCATTTGTTCAAGTCTTACTGAGAGAAGCCCCTGAGATCTGAGCCTCTTGTTTCATTTATCATGTACTTAAAACTTAATATCCCTTTAAATATGTTTTTTATCTTTGTTCTTTATAATTAATAGTTGTAGTGAATAAATAAAATATTAGACTTATTAAAATTGTGGTTTGTAATTTAATTTAAATTTTTTATGGTTTATCTGCAATAGTGTTGATTCTAAGATTTTGATTGGCAATTGGGAACAGCCAGTAATTTTTTCTAGTTAGTGTTGCTATGCTTTTTTTTTTTTTTTTTTTCATTTTTATCATTTTTTTCTGAATTAATTAGACAAAAGTTTATTTAAATTTAGACCAGACTGTGTAATAATGTTGATAAAAAATAGGTGACCAAGAATAAGATCTGGAAAGACATCGCCGGCCTGCTGGGCATCGGGGCGTCATCGAGCGCTGCGTACACGCTCAGGAAACACTACACTAAGAACCTACTGCCTTTTGAGTGCCACTACGACCGAGGCGGGATCGACCCGCAGCCGATTATAAACCAGGTCGAGGCATCGTCGAAGAAGAAGAGCACGAAAGCCGCCCCTGTTCCTTCACCAGGTAACGGACGCTTTAATAAACTTTCTAGGTCCCTCCGCTCACCCGTTCTTTTCATTCCAGGATCGTCCAACTCTCAAGATTCATTTCCAGGACCGGGCAGTGTGAGCGGTGGGATGGACGGCTACGGCTACGGTTACTCACAGGATTACAACAACCAGCAAAGGCCTCCTTCGCAAACCAACCAAGGTAGCTTTTTTCTTCTTTTTTTGTAAATATAACATCTAAGTTTGTTTCATTCAGTTCGTTGTTAAAAAATATTCTTTAAAAAAGTATTGAGTTGTAACCAACAAGCTAATTTTTCTTTTTGTTTTACAACTAACCTTTTTTTATTTATCCAATAATTTTATTATTTAAAAATTTCTGTTTGATTGGGGGAAGGAAGTCATTACATATATTTTAATTTGGCTTATTTTGAGCATTACATTTCATTTTTATTTGTTTTTTGTTTTTTTAAATACAAGTGATCATCTCAAAATATTGATTGTCGTACTGTTTGTTTAAATATAACTTTAAAAATTATTTCATAATTGTGGTTTTTCAAATATTTGTAATCATTGAAAAATGAAATGAATTAGCTTGAAAGAGCAAGGTTTTTGTTTTAGAATTTTATCTTTGTAAAATGATCGTTTGTTCGTTAATTTTTAATAATGATTAATAAAAGTACAACACCTTTTTAAAAGATAATTGCCATTGTTTTCTCAAATTAAAAATTAATTTTGGAGTAATCACTTTTAATATTGATTGCATACAGATTTAATATACAAGTTTCTATTAATTACATTGCATTTCGTGGTTTTAATCAATTTATTGTTGATTGTTTTGGAAATCGGGTAAAAAACAATTAAAATTAATGGGCCTGGGATTATGAAACATTGTTTAAAAAAATTCCTTGAACGGATTGCACACTTAATTAATTTTTGTTTTCCTTTTTATTTGTATTTTAATTTTATTATGCCATCTGTAAAATAATTTTACTTGCGTTAATTTCTGGTGTCTATAAGGGAAAAATTTTCACGTGGAACTATTCAGATTTATATCCTTTAACCCAGAATTCTAAATAATCAACAATCAAACCACAAGATCTGCACGACGCTACAAATTAACTCTTAATTAAAAGCATAGTGATTACAAAAAAAAAAAAATCAACCTCTTAAGTAATCATTGAATGTACTGGGTTTACTGAGTAAAAAAAACGGCCTTATCGTCTTGGTTGGGATAGGTGTAGGCGTTCCGAGTCAAGTACCTGGTGATAACATTAGCGTGTCCAACCCATTTGACGACAATGCTGCGTCGCCGAGACCCCCTAGGCCAGGTAAAAACGATAAAAGGAGTCTATGAGGTAGTGTGAGTGCGAGAGAGATTGGAAAAAAATAAAGGTTTCAAAGCCCTAAAGAAGGAAGCATGACCGTTGGAACCCGTTTTTACTATTTTGTTATGTTTAATGGGGCATGTGATCGAATTTTATGTCTTGTTAACTCGTTTTTCTTCTCTAGCTATGTGTTTTGTTGTTTTGATTTTTTCAATTTTACCATCGGTGCACTCTTTATTCAAAATTAAGACTGCCCGGGAGCAAAAGAAACATCACTTTTGTGTCATTCAATATTATTTATTTTACCCTATATTTATAAAGGACATATTAAAATTTTAAATTGACCTGTAATTATATTATTTTTCATAATATAATTAATTCTATATGCCTATTCTTCATAATAAGAAGGATTTGCATGATTTCAAACAATTTCATAGGATCTGTGGATTGTTTTAATTTTCGCTTCACCATTTAGCATTAGTTTTAATAACAACCGTCTTCACTGAAAATTTTTCATTTAATAACACCCAGATTTTTAATGAGGGCGAAGAACATAACCAGTCTTAATTATGAACTTCAGAATGCATTAGAATCACTTGAAAGAACACAGTTTGCTGTTTTTGTTTTTTTCTATCTCTCACATTGTATTTTTGTCAAATGCAAGTTTGTAAACAAAGAGAGTTTTGAGTTGTGTTTACAAATAAAGATTAGACATCGAGACGCGTGACGAAGGCACTGGAAAAAATAAATCAAAGACGTCATTTCTTTGGTTTTGTATGTTTTGTATTAATTGTTTACATCAATAACATATTACACGTAAATTTGTTATCTAACATTTTAATATTTGATTGCTTATTATATCATGTTTTTTTATGTTTCTTTAATTTTTCCGAAATATTTGTGAAGTATCTGTATGTATGTATTTTTTGTTTTGTAGTTATTTTTCTAATTATTTTTTCTGTTACTTTTTTTCTGATCATTCATAAGGAGAGATTTGTTTATCTAGCTTGGTGGTTACTTCTCTGTTTTATCTTTTCTATCTTCATTATAAATTAGATGAGGGAGAAAACAAAATATTAAATATGTTTTAATTTAAGGGGAAAAAACGCTGAGTTTACAGTAAATTCTTGGTGGTTGGATATTTTAGTTTGCAAGCAAAAGTGTGCATTTGAAATAGTTACTGTTGGAATACTTTATTAAAGTTGCTTTTCGTGTGTTTTTTTTTTTTTAAAGTCTTTATTTCTAATGTGTTGTTTTTTAATATTTAATAATTGTATATTGAAGGTATGCCCCCTAGTGGTGGTTACCAAGGGCAGCAAGGAAATTACCAATATGGTGAGCAATACAATCAGCAATATCCAGGTGGTTCTTATCCCCCAGGAAGGCCAATGTATCCCCCTTACGGTCCCGAGTCAGACAGGTAAATTTATAACATTTTTTTTTTTAAGTTTAAAATATTAAAATGTTCATGTGCAAGCAGGGTTTACAACCAAAGTAGTACAAACAATAGTGGAGTGCCACCGCCGAGTGGAGGACCAGGAGGTGGTGCCGGTGGACCACCTGTGACTGGCGCGCCGCCAAGCGGAGATTACAACAGATACATGCCCGGGACAGGGACACCGGGGCCGCCTAATGCTGCTGGGCCTACTTATCCCGGCAATCGAGGATATCCTCCACCGAGTCAAGGGAGTGCCAGCCCGAGCGGTACGCCGCCAACGCAGCCACCTCCTGTCCCTGGGGTTCCACCGACGCAACAGCCGAACCAACAGAACCAACCTCCGACTCAGCAGCAGCCACAACAGCAGCCTCCTCCAGGTGCACCGCCCTATCAGCCCCAGCAGGAATACTACCGGCAGGACGGCGCCTACCCAGGCCCAGGTGGCTATCCTCCGAATGCACCGAATAAAACTATGCCACCTCCTGCACCTCAGCCGAGGCGGCATCCTGATTTTGTGAAGGAACCACAGCCGCCTTATCCTCCGTACAACCAACGACCCAACATGTATCCTGGTAAGTCCAACAAAATCCATTGTTCAACTCGTCTTATATTTAATATATAATTTTTTTTCCTTTCAAGCTGGTTGGTCAAATAATAACAACAGCGGCGCATACAGAGGACAATATCCCCCTCCAATAGGAGGAACCCCTGGACCTCAACAGTGGGGCCAAGGGCCTTCCAGGCCTGGCGCACCACCCAATCATCAGCCCAACAGTCCACAATGGGCAGGACCACAACCGCCATACCAACAGCCACCTCAGGTACTTAAAACCATCAGTTCTGTAGCTATAATAAACTGTAAACAAAAATATATAACTTTTGCTATTGGGCTGGTGCAAAAATAATGCAGGTTTTGAAAAGGCAGTCAAGAAACTCTTCTTTTTCGGTTGTTAACTTTTTATATTTCTTGGGTTTCTTTTCAGGAACTAGACAACCATCAAAATCTCTTTTTTCCTTTTTTTATTGATTCAATGGGTTTGATGGTTATCTAGTACCTGAAAAGAAATCCAAGAGATATAAAATTATAGTTAATTTTTATAAAACAAAAAAAAATGTATTCGATAAAATTTCCATCACAATAAAGGCGTTTTCGGCTTCACCGTATTCTCTAAAAAAAATTTAGCCATCAAAAAGCAATCAAAATGTCTAAAAAAAGTAGTCTATAGGTTGGGTGAATATGGAGTGTGCGGTAAGGTTTCATACCCTAATTGCTTAAGTTTCCACAGGGGTTGGCATTACATACCGCCTGGCATTACTGTAAAGTAGAATCAGCCCTTTACGGTTTATCAATGCTGGACAAAGACGTTGCAGTTTACCGTGCGTTTTGTCAATTTCTTGCCATTATGTCTCTGCTTTGATAGTTCCACCGTAATTCAGGAAATTATAGTGAACAACCCCAGCAGTACTCCACCAAACCTTTTTTTGGTGCAAATTTGATTTTGGGGAATGTTTTGGCTTTTCATCCTTGTCCAACCTGTACGCCTCCTGGTTATCGTAAAATCCATTTCTTTGGACTTAAGTTAGTTCTTGCAGTGTCAATTTGTCGAGCTTCTTTACTTTACCAATTTACTCCTGATGGTGAACAAACAGTTGCGGAGTCAACACTAAGCTCTTCTGCAATTTTCCATGTTGTCTTAACGTGATTTTTCTTCAATCAACTTTCGAATTGGTCATCGTGTACAACAGAAAGCCTACCACGACCTTCCCTCAATCGAAATCTCTGAAAATATTGCTGCACAGTGCGCAAAACTGACTTTATGTTATGGCTGCTCTTTGCCCATGTTTAAATTCGTCGTTAAAAAAATAAATTAGCCCAAAATCTAATTTGGATTTAATTTTGCAGGCCCTCACTCTTATAAAATTCAATACAAACTAAAATGTTTTGTATAAAAGATAACAATTAAAAGTATTTATTATAATCCATAAATTAGATTTTTGAGGATTTAGCTTTGTGTACATGACAAGCACTTGCAAAATAAAACAAATTTGCAAAACCTGCATTAGTTTGCACCAACCTTTGGTTAATTTCTTTCTCTTTTTAACTCTGTTTACAAACAAGTCACTTTCAGTTAATTAACTGTATATATGAATCTTATAAATTTTGACAAATTTAGCTTTAATAAACAAGCTGCCAGGGCTTAATTTAAAAGTGTTAAATAAATTCTTACTACAAATATTCACATGATTTATATAAATAGAATTACCCAAAGTTAGGGTTCAAGGTAAAAAGTTAGGCTATTAGTAGTCCTACATGTTTTGGCAATTATTCAGCTTCCAATTATTGTGTCACCTTTGACCAGCTGATCATGTTCAATGTTTTTGCATAAGGTTATAGTAAAAATTCAAATTTGAATTTCAGACTCAGCAAGGTTGGGGAATGGCGACACCGGGAGTAGCTCAGAGCTCGCCTCTCAGGCCACCGATGGTCGGGCCGAGGCCTCCGTTCAGACCAGACGCCAAGCCTTATAACCAGATGCCGCCAGGACACCCGGGTGTAAAGGTACGTTAAAAAAACAATATAATCCTTACGTAGTGTGTGTAATAACTGTTAGTAAATTATGAATTAATCCGTCAAATATTGTGTGATGTATTATTTACTTTTTCCAATTCTGCGCTGTATAATAAAAATTTTCGTTTTATTATATTTTCAGCATGCAGAACGAGATTCTGTAAGTAGTCTTGTTGACTGATATATTCATAATTATATTTTATTTTTTGAGCTGTTTTCTTTTAACAAATTTCGGTTTTACCTTTTAACAACGGCTCTTTTGTATTTAACAGGGGGTGTCACCAATGTACAAATAATCAGCAATGGTTTCGGCGCTAAACTTACTTTTATAACTTTGGTGATTTCTTTGTGCAAATTTTCTACTTTTGAATTTGAAATTTTTTTTTTTTTTTTTTTAATTTTACTAACTGAACTGTGTTTCTATTTATTCAATTTAAAGTTCGTTTTCATTAATTTCCCACTTAACCCTAAACATATGTTGTCATTAAAGTTTCTGTTTTTTACATTAAAAAATCCCTTTTCTCTCACGGTAAATGGCAACAAGAAATCATCAAAATTACATTTATTTATATATTTTGTATAAAAATATCACAGAAAACGTTTTTCCTTTAAATATTTAAGGCTTGTATTATGGGCAAGTAATCCTCCACTCTTGAAAACCTAGGCCCATTTTAAAAATCAACAGCCCTTTAAATAAGTTTTCTTAGAAATAATGTGGCCAGCTTTTTTCTCTTTTTTAATATTGGCTTTATTTGCATGAAATCATTTCAAATGTGGGGAAAATAGATTTTTCTGTCAAATTGGAGGAAGGGCACAAAATATGGCAATGTGTAAATACGAATACAATATAAATACAGTATATTTGTTTGGAAAGTGTAAATATTTATTAATTAAATCAATAAGGGTGTCGGTGGCTGCTACGGTTTAGGCGTTGACACGGCGCTAATCCCTGTAAGGTAAAGGTTCCTGGTTCGAATCCAGTGGCTCCGCATTCGAACCCACCATACTTACAAATGTTTTTTTTCTTTATTTAGTTTATTTATTTATTTTTTGTTTTAAACACCGGCACCCCAAGAGTTCATATAACCTCGTAATTAAAATACTGTTGTAAAAAAATTAAATCCATCTTTACACTTGCTCTAAATTAAGAGTATTTTTTTTTTTTTTTTTTTTGAAAAAGCCACTCTGGTACACTTACCAAACAAATTAGTGACTTATATATTAAAGAAATTAATAACATGGATGTTTTCTTTTGTTTTTATAATCAGGGTCCAGTATTTTATGGAGTACCGCCAGGAGGTAGTCCTCAAGTGAAACGAGACATTGTATTTCCTATCGACAGTGTTGAAGCGACGACTCCCGTTTTGTACAAAAGAAGACGGCTGGGAAAATCGGACGTTGCGCCGATCGAAGCGTGGAGGATAATGATGGCGTTGAAATCCGGCCTGCTGGCTGAGACATGCTGGGCGCTCGACGTGCTGAACATCCTACTGTTCGACGACACGACGATACCATATTTCGGTCTAGTCCACCTCCCCGGGCTCATGGACATTTTACTCGAACATATGAAGAAAGCGCTGACGGATATGCTCGAGCCGATGAGTGTACCTCCGTTCAACGAAGAAGTTAAAGATGTGACTCTTAGTGATATAGGTGCGGTCGAAAGTTTACCCGATCCGAACGATAGAGTCTGTCTCCTCAAGTCGGCCGACTACACATTCAGGTCACGTAAAAACCATCCTGTGACGATATGCCCCGATTCGGATGACATATTCGTCACAGCGACTAAGAGGTCGTGGGACGTGGAAGATGTGGTTGACGATGCGGTAGAACAAGACTCTGGTAAATATATAGTTAGTTGTTTTAGAGCGGAATTTGGTAAAATACCTTTTGTAAGAATAATACCCAATCGTAAAAAAGAAAACGCTACAGGAGCAGAAGAGGCTCAAGTCATAGAGGAACCGAAAAAGGAAAAGACTTCTGTTGAAAAAGTTAACGAACCTCTCAAAGAAAAGAAAGAAGAGAAAAAACTCAACGAGAGGGTAACTAGGAAAAAAATTAAGACTTTAAGTGATGTGTTATCTAGGATTAAAAAAGAACCGATAGAACCAGCTAAAGAAGATAAACCCATCGAAGTCGCACCTGAAGCGACACCTATCAAGGAAGAACCTCCTACAATAAAAGAGGAGCCGAAAGAACCTGAAGAAAAACAGTCTGAAGAAGAAAAGTCTGCAGAAAAGGATAAAACTGAAGAAGAACCAAAAATAAAATGTAATATCCGGGATCCGGCCGGGACTCTGAAAAGAAGGCGGATATCGGACTATGAAGACGAGTGTTACACGAGAGACGAAGCAAGCTTGTATCTCGTGACAGAGAGCCAAGACTCCATAGCGAGGAGGTGTGTCTGCCTCTCGACAATCCTTCGCAACCTGACCTTCGTACCAGGCAACGAGTACGAGTTCGCCAAAAGCGGCACCTTCCTCGGCCTAGTCGGCAAGCTTCTCCTGCTCCACCACGAGCACCCGCCGAAGATGCCGAAACACAAGAAGTACAACAGGGACGAAGACGACGAGCTAGAAGACTGCTGTTCGAGTTTACAAGGCGACAGTGAGTGGTGGTGGGAATTCCTCCATCACCTCAGAGAGAATGCCTTAGTCAGTATAGCCAACATTGCCGGCTACGTCGACCTTGGGCTTTACCCAGAGGACATTTCAAGACCGATACTCGACGGGCTTCTCCATTGGGCGGTCTGTCCAGCTGCCCAGGGGCAAGACCCTTTCCCGACTGTCTCTCCTACGAGTTCCCTTTCACCTCAGAGACTAGCACTTGAAGCTTTGTGTAAACTTTGTGTTACGGACTCTAATGTAGATCTTGTCATCGCGACACCACCTTATTGTAGACTCGAAAGACTGGCTGCTGTTCTCGCAAGGCTACTCTGCAGAAGTGAAGAACAGGTACGGTTTAATTAATCAAAATTAAATTTTATAACAGTATTATCAATGCTGTAAACATTTTTTCTGAGGTACATCCACTCACTATATTCACCAAAAATGTGATTATTAAGTGGTAATTAATATTTCTTTGATTTTTGGTTTTTATTTTACAGGAACAAAATTATTGTCAAAATGTTAATTTCATGTCGGTTTTCAGGTTTTGAGGGAATTCGCTGTTAATCTTTTATTTTACCTCGGTGCCGCCGACAGTGGGATGGCGCGAACCATCGCCATGCAGAGTCCGTGCGTGTCTCAACTAGTCGGTTTCATCGAGCAAGCCGAAGCGAGCGCACTGAGCGTCGCGAACCAACACGGACTCGGGGCCCTGCGCGAGAACCCCGACTCGATGGGCACGAGCCTTGACATGCTGCGCCGTGCCGCCAAGACTCTGCTCCACCTCGCGGCCCACCCGGACAACTGGCCGCTCTTCCTCCAACAGGAGCAGCGGCTCCTGGCACTCGTCATGAGCCAGATCCTCGACCAGCAAGTCGCTTCGATCATCTCAATGGTCCTCTTCCAAGTATCCAGGGTTACGTAGTCCCTCGAAAAAATGAAAAAAAAGGAAAGAAAGAAAAAGAAAAATCCGTGTGTTGTCTAGTTGTACAAAGTGAAAAAGAAGCCCGCGCAATCACACCTCCCCCGAAGAAAATTTAAAAAGTGTATAAATACTATTTGACTTTTAACAAGTGTGGTAAGAGTGTGATATTATTAAAAACAAAATATTTGGGAGAGAGAAGATTGGAAAAAAATTTAAAATGAAAAAAAAAGTGAAATTATACGATTATACGAAGATACTTAAATAGGTATGATACTTGTGATGTTAGGTCTTGTGGATATATATATATATATATATACAATTTTAAATTTTTAGGTAATGTTTTATTTCTTTTTTCTTCTTTTTTTGTTTTTAATTTTTTGTTTTTGAGAATAATGTTATATATAAAGACAATATTAATTCCTTCGATACTGTGGTATATTCAAATTATATAAGTACCTCATGTGGTACATTGTATTTATTTAGCTATTATATATATAAATATATAAAAAAAAAACATACCACTTATCGAGTGTATGGACTAGTTAAAGCGAACACAATATGCGGAAACAAATTGGAAAAAAAAGAAACTCTGTCTATGATATGTTGACTTTTATCTTGGTTTTTAACATTTCTGTGTTCCATAAAATTTTGTTTTTGCAAAGGAAAATGTGAGAGAGGAAGTTTTTTACAAAAAACTCAAGTTTTTATTTTTTATCTTGTAAAAGTGGTTTATCTGCAAGTCTTCTTTTTTCTTTTTTTAATTTTTATTCCGTTTATAAAAAAAACTTAGTAACTTTTAAAATAAAAAGTTTAAAAAATGGTATTTACTTGTGCAAATGCTTTATATATATATGTCTGAAAATAAAATATTGAAAATATAAATGTAAATAAGATGATTAAAAAACAAATCCACAATGTGTTATAATGATTTATTTTTTAAACTAAAGAAGAAAAAAGGAAAAAGAGAACTAGTTGTAGTGTTTATAATAAATTGATTTTAAAAATGTCTCAGGGTTAATGCAGTTAGATGTTTGCCATTTTTCTTTTTTTTATTTTGAGACAGTTTATCAAAAATCTGATCTTGCATAATGGCTTGACTTGCATAGGAGAAAAAAAATTGGTGGCCAATTGGTAGTATTAAAAAAAAATTTTGTTCAGTGTCTCAGAGTGTATAGTTGTCTTTTTAAAAAAATTTTTTGTAGGAGATAACTCTTTAAAAAAAAATTATAATCCGTTTTCCCATTTTTAAAAAGGAAAAACAGACAACTTGTTTAACACAGAAATTTTTTTAGACTCGCTGTGACGGAGGAAATGCTATAAAAGGATATAAAAAAACAAAAAAAAACAGTAAGATATTATCAATAATGTAAATAATTATGCATGATAATTATAGGTATTTAAAAAGAATACAGATTTACAAGTTAGTGCCTGATGGATTTGTATACCTGTTTTGTTATCACAGGTGTGGATATGAATGATGCTGAATGACGATTGATGAAAGAGAGAGAAAACAAAAAATTAACCAATTGTACATTTTTTGCGAAAGATTTTTTTTTCTAGATAAGGAAAGAAGGACAAAAGTAGACATTTTCCTTCAAAGAACAATAAAAAAAAGTCTTTATTAACTTTTTACGATTAACGTATAAATATATATATAAATATAATAATTCTATACAGCTAAAAAAATGAAAATGATGGGAATAAATCAAGTGGATAAAAGAAGAAATTTTTTTTAAAGATTTATGATCTTGGCGATAAATTATAAATGTGTAAATATAAATTAAATAAATTTATAACTGAAAGTCAAAACTATAATGTGTGTATAAGAAAAACCGTGCATCTTTTTTTTTTCTTTTTCTCTTCTTTTAAGGCCTGAAAAAATGTATTATATACATGTTTTATATATATAAAAAATGAAAGGAATATTTATGTTTAAAGTTATTTCTTCTTTTCGAGGATCAGTTTTTTTTTTGTTTTGTTTTTTTATTTCATCCGAAGATTCGGAAAACAATGAAGGCCGTTAAACGATATTTTTGTTTCAACCCTATCCTCATCCTAATTCCTATAAAAAAAAATCCTTTGATCTCAAAAGCAGACAAGCTGAAATTCAAGTGAATAGGAAACATTGAACTTATAAAATAAAATTTAAAAAAAGGTTAAATGGTACATGAGTTACGAGGCGCAGATGCAAGGGAACCCACTGGTAGGATGAAAACAGTGCCCGATGGTAGTGCTTACTTTTACTCCAAGTTACCTTTTCTTTTCAACCAAAGTATCCAGATTGTTCAGAAGGATGTGCATGAAGTGCCGGGGACTTGATGCGGACCAAGGAAACTGTAGGAGAGTGCCCCGTCCAGCCCAAGAACCTTCAACCGAAGAGCACCCAGTCCCGCCTATGCCACCCTCAAGTTAGCCATTTATTCATTGTATTAACATCATCATTACGCTTATATTAATGGTTTGGTTTTCTTCAAAAATTTCATTAAGATATGTAATGAAGTTATCACCCAGAATTTCCGGAAGATGGTGAGGTTATAAAGTCTGAATATGCTTCACTGTGAGGCTTGTGTGCCCTATTTGCAGATGAGACAGTGTTGCCTCATTCTAGAAGATAGGATACCCATGGTCTTGGGGGTTTAATTTCTTTCAATTAAATGTTCTATTCCCGATGTCGTTGCCATGATAGCCATATCCTTTGCTTTAAGTGTGACAAGAAATCATCATGGGGCATGTAACATGACCATTCATCATTTATAACAAGTTTTGCAGCCCTATTCAGATATCGTGAGATGCGGTCAAATTAATTAACAATTAACGGTCACTAATCTCTACACATTTCTATCCATTGTATCGTTTCCACCTGTACTGCAGTTCTCAGAGAAAGAGCTTTCATATTTTGGTTCTATAACTGTAATACTGAACAAGAGGACTTATGAAATTAAAATATGTAAATGGAAAAATAGGATGTGATGAGGGATGCTAGGAAGTGAAGTTTTTATATTTTCTGAGCTGACATGGGTTGTACTTTTCCTAGTTACTTAGGCCAACTACACCTTCCTACTAGGCCAGCCACAGAGGTTTACCCGAACCAATAACTCAGGTATTGTGACCTGTTCAAGTGAGAGTAACTTTAAATGTAAATTTATGAACCTAATGTGATGATGAGGGATGCTAGGAAATGAAGTTTTTATATTTTCTGAGCTGACTGATGGGTTGTACTTTTCCTAGTTACTTAGGCCAACCACAGAGGTTTACCCAAACCAATAACTCCCGTAAATCTTCAAGTAACTTGATCTGTTCAGTTAGCCTAGACCAGATCGAAATTCAATTCTAACTACCTGCACAGGTTTCAGTATTCAGTTTGGTTGAAAGCAGACGCTCTTATTTTGTTGAAAAAATATAGGTATACCGTTTCATTCATCTTCAAATAATTATGGTATTCTGCTTGTTCCACAATCAATTCTTGTAAATTAATTTGATGTGAGTGTACCAATTTCTTTTCAAACAATCTTTATACCATGTTTTCCCATTTTCTTTTCTTTGATTTAATCAGCCTCTGCAATCATCATTTCGCTAGGAAGCCATGACCAATGAAGCTAAACCTTGTATGAGCTCGTTACCCATGCAGGTATACCATTCATTGTCCAAGCAAATTGCAACTTTTATGTCCAACATTATAGTTCCACAATAGACCTGTCACAGTAGGAGAAAGAATTGCCTTCTGCATCAACCCAATTGGATCTGGATTTTTTTCCCTTTTTTTGAAATCAGAAGTTGGAGGATCCATCCCAATAAGTTCTTGGTATACATATAGTCTTGCAGATCCTCTGGTCAATTTGTTGGGTTTTTCATTATATAGAACGGCTGTGACATCGAGACTGGAAGTTTAATCCCCCTGTTCAAATTTTGTATTTCCAGTGGATCCAGCTCGAGAACTTTTTACTCGTTCACTTTCTCACAATTCAATTTTCAGTTTGACAGATTGTTATACAGGTCATGAGTCATTCAAGTTTAAACATGTTTGACTGTTTCCTATTCAATTTTTCACTCTATACATGTTGTTTTGTCTTACTTTTTGTTTATAAAATACACTGATGAACAAAATAAGTGCACCACCCTTAAATTTTAATGTATTTAGGTTTATTCATATTTTGCATACCAAAAATATGTTTCAGTTGTAAAAATTAGAAACTTAAAAAGAAAATGTTTATTACTTAAGTCTAAAAAAAATTATTGAGTAAAGAACAAAAAAACAGAAAATTTAAAAACAATAAAAATGTAAAAAAACATTAACCCCCCTTAATAGCGAGTATTTTCACCTCAGGCATGAATCACGTTTGTTAAATGATTTTACATTCCTTGGAAAAGATTTTTGGTAAAATCCTGATTCTTTCCCTTTCATCAAGAACAGCCGTTTCCAACTTTAGTGGGATATTAGGACCTTGGTTTTGCCGTTGTACTCGTCGCTTAAGTTGGTCACAAATGTGTCCGATTGGGTTCAAATCTGGACTTTGTGCTGGCCACACCCAGCGCTTAATTCCAACTTCATTTAGGTAGTCGTCCTCAATACGTGCTCTGTGGGGTCTGGCATTGTCGTGTAATTTTTAAGGAAAAATTGACTATAAATCACATAGATGTTCTCTAAATAATTAAAAATCTGGTTTAATTTTCTGAATTAAAAACAAAGTATACAAATTTTACATTCAATTAATCTTTTTAGGTATGAGGTATTCAAAATTCACAATTCAACTGTTTTACAACTTAAAACAAAAATTTCTTGTAAGTCACCTTACTTTCCAGCTTTTTGTTTTTAAGGATTGGTTAGGGATGGGTTTTGTTTTTAATTTAAAAAGTTATAATTGTGTATTTTTGAAAATTATTTTTCATTTAATTACTCATACTTTTATATCAATTATTGTACTGTATTAAAACTTTAAATGCATACCTGTGTGGATTGCAAGATTTTTCTAAGTTGATAAACCGATATGGTATTCTTATCTTCTGTATAAATTTTCATAAATAAAGAAATGGTTGGTCGACACAACATATTACATTCAATAATATTTGGAAATTAATTTTTGTATCCATCACAATTATACATAAGTTACTGTATAACAATGCAAATTATTTTTTTAATTGTATACATATAATTTTCAGTAATTCTATTACAAATTCTGCAAAATCTAAATGTAGAATTTGAAACGTTTGTTCTTGGGCTGTCGCAACTTTACTAATAAAATTCTTTGATAATTCTCTATGTTCCAAACTTATACAAGATAAATATAACACTTTATATATACAGGATGTTCGGCGACTCGTGTTACAAACTTTGTCAGCATATTCTACATTCAAAATGGACTCAAAAAGTCCTAATTAACTATGGTTATTCCCCTTTTTCTGATTTTTTAAGATTTCACGACCTTGCTTCAAATCAACAATGAAACTAAAAGGTTTTGGACAAATCAGTTGATACCATTGAAAACTACGTTAAATTTACATTAAGTGAACGTGGATGAAATAAGCGATTCAGTAGCCAGAACTTTGAACACAATTTTTTTTTTTCAAAGTTGAAAAACTTACTATGGTGATTCGAACTACTATTTCCAATTTTTTTTAAATTTCATTTTTCCACTCAGGCAGCCTAAAAAATTCCTGATAAAAGAAACAAATCTTCCACGCAGAACTCTCGTACAAACGCTAGCAGACAAACATTCAAACATATAAGAACTCGGGAAAAGGCCTAAATCTCATTATAAATTCCAATAAATTTAAGAAAGCTGAAAAATGCTCTTCGAAACAAACACCAGGGGCCCAGTAACTCCTACAAATCACTTGAAAGGTTGAGACTTTGCCTAAAGGGCTGCAAAGTACAACTGTCGACCAAAGTATGTTTAACAGTTAAAATGATGCCACTTTGAAAACATCTATGACAAGTTGGAAAAAGAAAGATATTACATATTTCATATCGATATAATATTTCAAAGAATATATTATATATAATATTGCAATTATTATAAAATAATCAATGTAGGAATAAATTGATATAGTAATATAATATAGGATTTTATTATATATAATAATAATAATACAAAATATTATTCAATTAATTATTCCTTTTAATGTAAGGACTTGGTTGAAATGAAAAAGCCAGCCAAAGGTTGTGGGTTTGAATCCCGCTCAAGACATTAACTTTTTCATTTCAACCAAGATGTTACATACAAAGAATAATTAATAACAGTAAGATTTTATATGTAAAATTTCCTCATTTACATCAATTCACTTCTTGTCACTGTCTTCCCTTTTTCTTCAAGTAAAAGAACCAGTTTCCCTTAGCCTCTGATAAAGCCGTTGGAAGGTGCAATCTGCTGAAACGTCTCAATGTGGAAAATGAGCTTGGTATTCTCCTTGCAGTAGCATTACCATTGCAGTAACTGTAAATGAAATCATCAGCAAGATGTGCATTAGAAAACAAGGACATAATTAAAATCACCAACCTGAGGAAGTTGTCAACTGATAACGTAAAGCAAACTGATTGAATTGAACATTAAAGAACTGACACAAAACTCAAGAGCTAGACGGATTTCCTATAAAAAATTGAACTCGCCCCACTTCATGGCCAGTTTTTTTTTTTTCAACAAAATACAAAATTTTTGGGCCTTCCAGAACCGCAATCCAAAAATGTGGGTAAACTAATGGAGAACTTTCGAGGGAATTTACAAAGCTCCGGGAGTTTGCGGTTATTGACAGTTAAACCAATACCATTTTTTAAAAATTCCAAATTTCAACATTTTTTTTTTTTTTTAATTTTTCGTGCAGAATTTTTTCATCAATTCTGCAATGTAAGTAGTTTTCCGGACAGAAAATTTAACGTTCTTTCAGTGGCACAGACCAGTTTTGTACAGTCAGTAATTCTGAAGTTTATAAACATTTTAGTGTCTAATCTAAGTCAAAAAATTAAAAAATACCCAAAACCTGAAATTACTTCTTTGCCGTTGAGATTTGGACAGGGGTTTATAGGAAGTTTTTTGTTGCATATGTTGAGTAGAAACACCTTGAGATTTTTGACAGTGTGTGAGTGGTGTGTGTGTGTGTGTGTGTGTGTGTGTGTTTATGAACTTAATCTTAACTTCTTAAACTTAACTTCTTATTCTTTATGGTATGAATAATAAAGTTTGAGTGCATTTCAAATCTGAAATGACCATAGTCCAATTCGTCTTATTGTTAATATATGAGAGTAAGAAAATAATATATATGTGTGTGTTTATATATATATTCTTTTATTACTCTCTTATATGAACTTATTCTTAACTTCTTAAACTTAACTTCTTATTCTTTATAGTATGAATATAAAGTTTGAGTGTATTTCAAATCTGAAACGTCCATTGTCCAATTGGTCTTATTGTCCATATATGAGAGTAAGAAAATAATATATATGTGTGTGTTATATATATATATATTCTTTTATTACTCTCATATATGAACTTATTCTTAACTTTTTATTCTTTATAGTATGAATAAAAAGTTTGAGTGTATTTCAAATCTGAAATGACTATAGTCCAATTCGTTTTATTGTCCATATATGAGAGTAAGAAAATAATACATATGTGTGTGTTTATATATATATTCTTTTATTACTCTCATATATGAACTTATTCTTAACTTCTTATTCTTTATAGTATGAATAAAAAGTTTGAATGTATTTCAAATCTGAAACGTCCATTGTCCAATTGGTCTTATTGGCTTCGCCACAGTCGTCCCTTTACAGATGGCTTTACCAAAGCCTCTTTGGTGTTGTCGTTGATAATGAAATTTACTTCTTAACCAGATAGTTTATAAAAAAGGAGATAAAAAAGGTCAAATTAATTTCCGTCGGTTCGAACGATGTAACTGGTCAAAAAGGCGGCCGAGTCTCGGTTCATAAGTGTAAAATCGTCTCGTTTCGACTAAAAATGCGGTCAGTCTGATCATTGTGGACAAAGGTTAATTTTGAGTGTTGAGAGAGAGAGAGAGAGAGGGGCTTATTCATGAATCTTCCCCTGCCTTTGTTCCGTTTATTTTGACAATTTCACCAAAGAATCGGCCTCATCCCCCCATTTATTTTACAAATCCTTTTTAAAAATGATGGAAAATGTATTTAGCAAACTGACAGACGATAATCCCATCACTTCGATAAGTGTAATCGAGGATATTGCAACACCACCTCCTGGTTTCATAGTTGTAAGTGATAATTAATTTTTTCTTATAATTTTAGATGGAAAACGCTCGGCAAAAAATGTACGAGACTTCTTACATTGGAAAAATTCCTATTTTCATACCAACCCAGTTTTCAAGCATTATATTCAACAATTAATATTTGGACATAGAATGATTACACTAAGAAATTTAATCCCAACCGTATCACTTCCTTTACATTTAAAATATCAAATATTATGATGATTGTATGTGTATCATTCGTAGTGTACAATATACAGCGCCGTTTAAGAGCTATTGTTATTGTTATTCAGTGTATTATTGAGGTATGGGTTTTGTTTCGGAGGGTAACAGTAATGTTGGTGCATTTGTGTTCATTTATCTTAACTCTTGGTGTGTCTCCAGATTGGAGACAGGTGCTCGGTTATTCGCTGAGCTACAATATTCGTTGCTCGCCTTACTCAACTAATTGTCTCAGTTTCCTTGTCCACGTCACAGTGAAATAGCCGAACTAAAAGCATCTACACATTTGGGAATCAATGGTATTGTACGGATATCAACTGTAATCATCAATCAACACTGCTATTTGTTTTTCAATAATAAACGATTCTTTACTAGTTAGATGTGTTAATGAAAGAACATGATAGCGTTGTTTCTGTCGGTTAGGAATGGATTGGCCCAAAATGACATCCTTGGAGTTCCTCGATTTGTATCCGGCTGAAGCAATAATTTGGAATGCTTCTCTTCCGAATCATAAAAATCAGAACGAGGTTTTCGATGCATGGATACTGATGGAATAACAGTACTATGTGACTATGGAAAGCAGTAACCGCACGGCACTTGGCAAATACATATTCGTTGTTTCTGCACAAATTGGCTGCATGTGTACATAGGCACGCTATTTGGTGAATGCCAAGATGAGCATCTTGATCTTGGCAAATGTTCAGCGGCATTCGGCGAATACTGCATGTCTGGAGCCACCTTAAGACGCAGAATTTGCTCCATTCGACTATTCGCTGCATTTGTATTGGAGCTCCTCTGACGCATTGTGGGGTCATAATCAGGGATAGCACAGCTGTGTCATCGGGAAAAGGAAGGTAGAAAAGTGGAGGGTGTGGTTGGGATATCTTAAGTAAAGTTACAAGATTAGTCCGAGCACGCTGCTCTATGACTCTCAGAGGGCAATATTCGGAGTAGTTGGTAAACTTGAAAGAATGCTTCTGTTAGGTACAGGATTTTAGGTATTTGGAAGGTCATGTTTTAATTTGTACAGGGAACTCTCATGCTACTGATAAAACGCTTGTCACATTCGTGTTCAGTTAGTCAGTTCTCAGATTATGGTTGGGTCAAGGTGAAGTCGTTTAATTCCATAGCAATAAGAAAATTAGTGCCTGTAATATCTGTGTAGTAAAGTTCAGAGTTTGGGATTGCATCAAGGCCCGTCAGACATTGATGACATAAAACGAGGAGGCCGATAAATTGGCTAAGGAAAGTTCGATGTTGATACTTATCAGCCTTGGATCATTATCGTGGCATATCAAACTCAGGCAAATCACAGATCCATCCAGTTCAGCTGGATTGTATTTCAGGACAGGCATGCGAAAAAAGTCCGTTAAAGGGCCATCGCAGAAACTAACAGCAGAAGTACTAATCCTAGGACTTGTTAGCACTAAAATGGTAATAGGGCTACAGACTCAAGAGGCATATTTATATACTCGGAGCAGAAATAAGCCTGCATAATATTGCTAGGAAGAACAAGAAGAAATTGGAAAATATTCTCTGTTGGTGTGAGAAAAAGTGTGAAGGATACATGTGGGAGCTTTGGGATCTGATAAAACACCTTAAACTTAACTAATCTAAACAATGATGAAGATTGCATAAAGTTGTAAATAGGTTTGACTACTTTTAATCTTAATCACTTCAATTAATTATACTTTTTTCAATTCTGACTGCTAAGCATATATGATTGACTTAAACCATGAGAAAGAGAAAATTATAGTCAAGAGTCCTTCCATATACATTCATGCAATTTAAATTCATTTTTTACTAATAATTTTTCTACGTGTGGACCCTTCCCATAAGCACACTTCTGTTAAGCAGATCAAATTGACTGTGAACATAAATATTCAATTAAATGCGTATTTATATTGACCCATTTTTGTATCTGTTTATCCTTTCCTACATTTTCACCGCTTTTCTTGCTAACTGGTTAGCGCTACATCCCTTGTTGGGCTTGGTTCTCCTCAAAACCTACTCTCTTCTGTCCTGTGTTCTTTTTTCATCGTTTTACTCCAAATTTCCTAAGGCCTCCATTAGATCGTCTAGCCAGCTCAGCTTTTTGGTCTTCGTTTCATTCACCTGCTGGTCTCTTCACCACCATATCTGATATCCTTTCAACATGGCCCTTTCAATCTGCCTTTTTTTTTTAATCTGGCTCACCACATCCACATTTTCACTGAAATTCACCTAATTCCAAATTTTACAAGCCAGGTCAAACTTTCCCAACTCCATCTTTTGCTTCAGTACATAAAAACAGATCTGATAATTGTTTTGTAGACCAAGTCTTTTGTTGCTTGAGATACGATGCTTCTTTAAATTTCAAAACATTATTTAGAATGAAGAGGTTTCTATTAAAGCTTTAATTTTGCCTTTTATGCTAAGCACTCAGGTACTTAAAACTTTTGTGATATTACAATTAATTAAGGTTTTTAGTTGAGATAAAAAAGTCAATGGCACGAGCGGGATTCGAACCCACGATCTTCGGCTAGATACGCCGCTGCTCTACCACTTCAGCTATCGTGACCTCGATCCACTCAGACACCAACTTCCCATCTCAACCCCACCTTTTGAATTTTCCCTCCTTTTTGCCATTTTTCTTTTTATCTCAACTAAAAACCTTAATTAATTGTGATATATTAATTGGTCAAGCAGACCACGAAATTAGTGAACTTTTGCGATATGCTCATTTATCTGGACTTATTCTTCTCTACTTACCTTAAACCTAGCTGTATTCATATACTTTATATATTTTATTCAAACTGATAACAAAGGATGCATATGCTGAGTCGACGTATTATAGATTTTCCACCAGGGTTCGTTCAGATTGCTCTTATTGCCAGAAGTCCCCATTAAAATGGATGGCAATGGGTTTATCCTCAGTCGCTTAACCAGCCTCGTAATATTCCAGGTCGTTTTCACCAGTCTCAGTAAATTCAATGGCTCTAATGACCTCATGTTCTTCAGAGCTTTTCTGTTTAAAAGCTGCTTAAAATCAAACAGGTGGCACATGCCCCTAACTTTTTTTTTAACAGTATCGTTAGTGAGAATATTAAATCCTTTGTTGATCTCCCTGCTTGAAGACACACTGATAGTACCCTATTCAGCCTATCACCTTCTGATTAACTGCTACGGAATTCTCGTTCAAGCTTAAATTTATTTTCACTCTAGTTTGTTTATATTGTTTATTTATACTCTCTTACAACACCACTAATTTACGTTTAAACTAATTCTTCCCAATACAAATCCTCACATGGAAACAAGCTCAAAAAAACAATCTCTTTCTTAAACTGACAATCGTCAGTTCACACAAAAACCTTTTTTGACATTATCTTTTTCTCTTTTTCATAATCACTTCTTCAGTCATCTGAACATACAATAAAGGCAAGCATAAAATGATTTTTTTTTTAAATTAATTTTAAGGTGTCCAAAACTCATGATCAAGATTCCGATGCCGACCTTTGGAAAGCGTACAATTTTTTCGGTCGGAAAATATCAAGGTATCTATGCCTTTCCAAAGAGGAAAAGATTGCCGACTACATCGTCGAGAACATAGGGGTCATCGGGGAAAAGGACGTCCCGCCAGATGGCTATTGCCTCATACCAAGGACAATGGACACAGGTGAGTGTTTTCTACCCATTTTAATACACTCGGATAATTAATTCTTGACAATACGATTCACAGATGCGAAAGCCTGGAAGAAAAGGCAAATCTGTTACAGCCTGGCAAGGCGTTACAAGGCAGTATCAGCGGTCACGGATGTCATTCTCCTCAGTAAAAACAGGAAAGCACCTCAAGGTTTTAAATTAGCCGGGTGAGTCATCGGCCTCAATTAGTCATAATTCCTGTTAGAAAGTACATGCGGGTTTTTTTAAAATTATTATTTTAATATTCATGTATTTAAATATATTTCTTACCAAGGGATCTCCAAGTCTTAATTTTCCCCCACTTTTATTATCTAATTTTGCATAACTGTAAATATTTATTAAAAGTAACAAATTATTTGGATCCTTCCCTCACTTTTTAATTTATTTAATTCGCATAGCTTTTAGTTTAATTTAGTTAATTTTATTAAACAAATAAATGCAATGAAAATTTTTTAGGAGTCTTATTTTATTATTTATAGGACTCAACAAGTTGTTAAACAATTAGTTTAAAATTTTTAGAAAGTAGGCCAATAAATGTTCATTTTTCAGCGACATAAATGGATTAGCGGTTTGTTTTAAAGTGAACACAGAATTTAGCATGAAAAAACCTCCATCTCCCACACCAGTACTAAGCTATAGGTAATTAATATATTTCTAAAATAAAACGAACCGTCTAATTTACCTCAATCGTCGTTTAAAAGTTTGAGCCCCAATGGAATCCAGTTGTCGGATGTGCCGAAGAAACAAAACCAGCCGTCTAATGGAATATACCCAGTGGTGAGCCCGCCGAAGCCGACTTCGCCCGGCGGCGATGATTATGTGAACATGCTCATGCCAAAGCGTAAAGCTCCGCCTGTTCCGATTTCGCCGCCTGGTCCTTCGACCTCTTCGCCACCGCCGTTGACGTACAAGTCAGCTCATAACCCGAGCAACTACAGCACCCTCGGCTCATATCAAGGCCTCGAGGGTGTGCCATTCGTTTTGCATCCTACACTACAACTCATCACACATAAAAATCTAGTGAGTTATTCAATTTATAGACATAATTATTTTAAAATAAATTTATAGCCCATGATTATTTTTTTAAAACTGTGGTTGCCAGTTATCTGTTTTTATCAGGTATTCTGTTGAAAATTTGTAGTAAGGAACCAAATAGGCTTTTCATTTTTTTTGCCAGATCATTCATTATTGTTGCCTTTCTATTTAATCTGTGAGATTTCCTCTTGAAAAATGTACTATGATGAACCTATAATTTGATGATCATCTTCGTCCACATATCCTTGCTACCACACACATTTTGGCAATCATTATCTTCACTATGTCTGTATACTCTGGAAGTATTTCTTTTATTTATTCTTCTTGGGATTTCGTGAGATTTCTTCTCGAGGTCTTTGAGGTGATCAACCTGAAAGTATTTTCATCCTGGTAATATAACCACCTCCGAAGATGCTAAAATACATCTGACAGACCAATGATGATAGCATAAGCAGATTCAGTCCAGTTTCTATTGTGCGAAAACCACTCGCGAATCAGCTGTCTCAGGTTAACCATTTCCGAAGGGGACATAGAGGCAAAACAAGGTAAGCCATTAGATTGCTTGAGACAAGCATGCCGTTCATATCTGTTTGCTATCATGGTGATACTTTTTGTTAAGAATAATAAGAAATTAATTTCCACTCATGCTCTTTCTCGTTCTTAATTACCTATCTTTAGCATTCCACAAGAATCGGTAGCTCTAATACAATGGATAAATCAAATGCAGAGCTCCTGGTTCATTCTGAAGCTTTACACAGAGAAAAACAGACAACACAAAGCACTTTGATGGACATTAAAAAGCCGGTCGGCTCATTCAAAACATCCTATCGCCAAAAGTTTCAGAATCCCACTTAATTATCCACAACATGAGACAAGTTTCGCAAAATAGTTGCGCACATGATTTTTATAAGTGGGTACCACTGTAGCCAAGTGGTTAGCACTCACCCCTGGAATTTTCTTTCACCCCCTTTTCCATTTTTAAATAACAAAGAAGCATATCAAGCTCTCGACTTTAGCCCCTATGGTTGTTGGTTCAATTCCCATTCACCCCTGGAATTTTCTTTCACCCTCCTTTTTCATTTTTACATAACAAACAAGCGTGTCAAACTCGACTTTATACCCCATGGTCGTGGGTTCAATTCCAACTCAGCCCAGGAATTTCCTTTCACCCTCCTTTTTCATTTTTACATAACAAACAAGCGTGTCAAACTCGACTTTATACCCCATGGTCGAGGGTTCAATTCCAACTCAGCCCAGGAATTTCCTTTCACCCTCCTTTTTCATTTTTACATAACAAACAAGCGTGTCAAACTCGACTTTATACCCCATGGTCGTGGGTTCAATTCCAACTCAGCCCAGGAATTTCCTTTCACCCCCCTTTTTCATTTTTAAATAACAAAACAGCTAGTTTATCTATCAGTTTGCGGATCAGTGAGTTTTCTGCGTTTAATTCATGTTTTTTCTATCGTAAAATAGATACAGGGGTAACTTATAAGAAAGAACGGTTAAAACAGTATGACAAACTCCCCCTCCCCGTCTTGAAACCGATTTTAAAGTTGTTTTAAAAATGAAAAGTGATTGTGATTTATGTGGGTACTTATACTTACATAACGTGATGATCGCTTAATAGGTTTTAATTAATCCATTGAATTTTATCCTGGCCCAATTTAACAACGGATTAAGTGACAACCATTGTATTTCACTTAAGATTGCTCTTATTAAGTACTAATATATATTTATCGTTAAAGGTGCCATTTCACAAGTTGCAATTTAAGAAGAAAGAAACACTCGACAAAGAGGTAATATCCTGAAACTATTTCAGTATTTGATTTTAAACAATTTTCTCACGTCACACATTTTTCAGTACAACTATGACTTTAAACTCGAGCGGCAATATACATAGCAGATGGCAGAAGAGTTTTCATTTCACGCCATGAAACGGATAAGCAAGAGGGCCATTAGGAAAATCTGTGCGCCGCAGCCGCCTTTCAAACTGACTCTTCTCGACTCAAACTGATTATTAGGCAGGGACACGCGGGACGATATGCCAGTGGAGGTTTTATTTATTTCGCCCTCCTAGGCAGATTTTCTTTTCTTTCTTATCCTGGATCGTCAATTAAATCTAAATAAGTTCCCAATTTTTGTTTATCTAGCTGAGTTTATTTTTCAACTTAAATGTTTTATCATAGCATACAAGAAGAATTCTGTTTATAATATAATCCAGTTTTGGCTCACGTAAACAAGATTCTCAACTTTCTTTCATTTTAAGGTGATTTATGGTATGCTTAAATGTTGATTGTTCTTCCTTGGGACTAAATCACCTTTCATCTGTTAAAATAAATCAACTGTAATGATTTGCTTTGAACATTCAAGGCCGTTAGGTTAACGACATGTTACAAACTGCCATTTTATTTTTACTTTATGCAATACGTATTAATAGTAGGGATTAAACACTTTTCTGTTGTAGCTGGTGCCAATTTATTGAAATACAAAGTATTAGGGTTCACTGTACATATAAATTAGGTAGATTTTTTTTGCCTTACAGGAGGTTGAAGACTGAAATTTTAAAATGTTTTTAATTAAGGTGCTCAATGGGCAGCGTGTCTCAAAACCTTTTATGAACAATTTAGCCCTCTTTTTTTAACAGGTAACCCTTTTAGAGGTTGTGAAAAACCAAAAACATTATGACAAGACGGAAACCTTGAATGAAAAGTGTCATTTTAATTTTAAGTTTTTTCCTCTTACTCTCCTGGGGAAAAGATATCACTGCTCAAGCACAAGGATCTCCCTAGTTCCCAAACCGTGTTAGACAACGGTTACCTGTATAAGGCAGATTTTTTTTTTTTTTTTTAATTGGAATGAAGTAGAACTAATTAATTGTAGACTACACCCTTACTTTTCTCCCCTTTGGTAAATGTATTTTTTTCATAATGGCACATTTGAAAATTGTCTTTCGATGAAAGCTTGTTTATTGACTCGTTTCGTTGTAAATATGTGTTTATTGTATTTCTAAAGACTCAAAGAAGAAGAAAGATTAAAAAATCAATAATCGTTTCTTTATTAAAAAAAAAAACCAAACGATTTAGAAACTATGCTTTCCCTTATCAGTTTAATATATTTTTATAACAATTAGAGGTGCCTTGTGTTATCAAGTGTTATTATTTGAAAAAAAATCTTAATATGTAATAAAATGTATACAATCCTGTAAATATAATTAGTGGAAGAAAAATAATATATAGAAAGTATTATTTAGACGGGTTTGAACAAATATTATACTAACACTAAACAATGTAATTTTTGTAGAATTGGTTCAAAAAGTGGTGTTTTTAGAGGAAAATTTTGTTCTGTGATAAAAAAAACAACCTAATTTTAATACTCCTCTGTCAGTGAAATGCAAAATACCTTTTTATCTTTACCAGTACAGAAAATACACGCATTAAAAAATCCAAGAGACTACATATTGTTAAAATATGTAATCAAATATGTAACAAGTTTAAAAAAAATTGTTGAATTTTTAAAAATATATTTACAAAACCCACATAGTTGATTCGAGATGAACAAATTTTATAACGGAAACTTTGTCTTGTACAGTAAAAAAAAATTTTGTTATACACTTATCGCTCTGTATTTTTAGGTGATATATTATAAATAATTTTTCCCCCTTGTTTATTATTATGTTATAATCTATTTAGAGTATTTTATTGCTTTTGGATAGAAGGCTTACGGCATTGTTGAACTTATGGATTTCTTTCCTTCCCCAGCCATTTTTATAATTAAAGCGCCTTATTGAAACTTGTTTAATTCCCTAGTCTCTGAATGCCAATTTGCAGTTTTATTTAAATAATATAAGTTTTATCTTTAATTATTGAAAAAAAATAATGCATGTGATTTATTTAGCATTAACAGTTTATGATTTAATTATAATATTAAAAAACAAAAATATTTTCCAGGATCTTTTATGATTTTTTTTAATATATAATTTTATTAACCAGTTCCTTTAACACTTATCAAAATTAGCGCTGCCCCCTAATTTAAGTTTTATTTGAACTTGTATGTAAACCCAGTTTTTATTTAAATCTTTTGAGATAGAAATGAAAATAAAATGATATTAGAAAATATAAATTTTGTAGTATCTCTTATTCATTTAAAAATTGTATCCTTTTAATTTTTGTATTTTAAAACAACTGTTGCTCAATAAGTTATTATGGGCAAAGGTTAGAGTAGTTTGACACAGGGAGACAGCGTCGATGTCAAACTTAAAATATTTAAAAAATTGGCTTTTTTCTTTTCTCAAAAACACCTGCCCCCTGGGATTTTATATGACCTCTGTTAATGTGAACTCCAGTAAAAAATTATTTTATTCATTCAAAAATTATATATTTGTATCTGAGATACACTTTGACACAATTGTTCTTATCTTAAAACTAAACTATTTCCAATTGAAGTCAGCTTATCCCACTCAATTTCATAAAAGCCTCAGCCCCTAAAGAATTGATAGATTCTATAGAAATCCATTTGTTGCATTTTGAGAATGGATCTGGCGTCTCGATGTCCAGGCACTCCACATTGTTAGGAAGCACAAGCCTGAAAAAAGATAATAAACATCTAAAAATAAATATTCCTTATATAAAAATATACTTAAGAGCGTGTAAATATGTTCGGATAGGGCTGATGTCGCGTTGTCTGCTGTAAGTAAAATCGCCGATGATTGTGTGGCCCAAGTAGGCGCAATGAACCCTCAGCTGATGCCTTCTTCCAGTTATCGGCTGCATGAGTATTTTACTCGCTGGGTAGGAGTCGTACAGGCCCCTCTCGAGTACGAGGATCCTCGTTTGGGCCGAACGTGGGTTCAAGCAGGTTTCATTCACTGTCGTCATACGGTGGCTCCCAAATTGCTCACTGGCAACCTCTCCTTTAACACAACATAGCTAATTATAGAAAATTATTTTACTTTAGAACATATTTCCTATGTGAGAGATAAAGAACTGAAGAAGCACTAAACCACCTTGATGAGGATGATGAGGAGAAATCTAGGAAGAGGGGTATTGTATTCTCCAAGCTCTGGAGTCCTGGTCCCCCTATGTTATTAAGCAGTTGCTTTGCATTCGAAGATAATCTGGGTGTTCTTTAATTATGAGCTTACTGTCACGACTCAGGAGATCGCGCGACACGGGAACCGTGGAATCCTTTCCTGACTCAATTTAATAAAATTTTCGCGAGATTTCAAGTTGTCACAAATAAAATTGATAAATATTTTTACAGATAGGACATATTGCCGCTTGGTCTGGGGGAGACGAATTTTTACAGGCAAAACAACTTTCTATAGTTAAGGTAGACTTATTTTGTCCAAGCTTTCTGAAGACATGATCAAAGATAAAATTAAATTTGTTTTCTTTGAGAAAAGAAAAAAAAAATTTTTAAGCAATGAATATTTCAGCCCTCACACGTGTATTTGTAGGGTCCAAAATCCGCAAAGATAAATTGTCACAAACGAGTTGTTTTAAACGGCGATTTTCCTCGTCTGCAGTTTAGGGATGGTTAAAATTCATGCAAGATTAAGAAAATATTATTTTGAAAAGCTATTAGTAACATAAAATAATTTCTTATAACACATAAAATTGAAAATACATTATTAGGATTAATGGATAAACTAAAAAAAATTCTTTCAGGAAAAATGGATGGATCGAGGATCGCTCTGCTACCAGGTGGTACGACCTCCTCGTCTCGCTTTTATGAGACGGAAAATTACGGATTTAGGGATTTTAATTAAAATGTTAAAACTAAAAGTAATTCTATATTGTTAGAAATGAAATTATTACAATTGTAAGAAACAAATATTTTCAAAGGATGCCTTGATTTGTTTTATTTTTATTACCCTGCATTCAACTGGGTCTCCTCCGCAGCAGGTCTTTCTCCGAAAACGTCCTTGGCGCTAATTGGCCAATTGCGGCGGAGTCTCCTTTCCCGTTGAAAAAGGGGGGACACACCCCCACTTCCACGATTCCCATGTCGCGCGATCTCCTGAGTTGTGACGTTACTATGTGTGACATTTCTGAGCTTATTTACCAAAACATCAAATTTTGTTTTGGGACCCTTCTGGCATGGAATCTTTTTAGCTGCTAGTTACCAGGACTTTTGCCAGCACTAGTTCTCCCCCCCCCCCGATATTCTGCTGATAATGCCAAACCTCATTCACACTAATAAAATACATATTGATACCTATCATACTATATATATGTAAAATTCAAAACTTAGCAGCTACTGGATTAATATTTCGCCCGTGCCTCCTGCCTTTTACTCTAAAAACACTTAACCTAAAGCTAACCTAGTTTAGAGGATCTGTGAGGAACTCGATATTCCACCAAAACCCACCCACACATACTCAACACTCACGATAATAAATACATTCATTCAAGACACAAAACACTCACAGAAAAATCGTTACCTAGTTTAGTGGTTCTGATGGGTACTCTACATTCCAACACAACCAGCGTACCTATTCAACACTCACGCTAATAAATACATTCATTTCAGGTAGGAAAAAAGTGTGGAAGAGTCTTGTTATCCGAAAAAGGTTCTGGGCCTATATATGGTCTTGGCATATCCTCTGGCCAGTTTGTATGATTGTTCCTTACTCAAAATTCCTTTGTGCTCTGGCACCTAAGGTATTGTCATGTTGTTGTGTTTTCTGTTTTATGACGTTTTGATGTGAAATGTGCTGATGCTTTTAGGGCTACTTGACTTTCTGATCTTATGAGGATATTTTGTCAGCGTAACCTCTTTTAGTATTTTCTATGGCACACATTCATAATATTTTTATATTATCAGGTATTTCAGCTTAAAATATTGAGGTGTACTTCGTATTTTGGGCTTGCACAGGACGATGGGCTGGTACTTTCGTTATTTTAAAACCATCTGGATTATAATTATATTTGGTTTTCTCCTGAATTATTCTTCTCCTTCATGGCCTATTAAAACTTTATAGGATGTTTGCGGGCCATGTTTCATGTGTGATGCCAATTTCTAGGAATGGGTGACTGATTTAATTTGCTATTGCTGTACGCTAGAACCTGTTTCATCCCCACCCAATTTTTGGAGTCTGTAGGAGCTTTTATCAGCTTCTGGAGGCTGGCAGGCTCCGGCCCTTGTGATCCTCCTCATACAGATCCACTGCTTTTAGTCGCTCCCTCCTTATCCGTTCCTTTAAATTCTGGATTTATTTGTTAATTTTTCCCCCTTCTTATTTAATTAAGCATTGTTTAATTTATTTTTATACTGTTACATTTAAATCATTATTTACATATTCATTTTGACACGAATTATGCCAAAATTTGTACTTTTTTGTTATTCAAGGGATCCGCAAGCCCCAGAATAAAATTTATTTTTTCTTATTCTTCTTGTAAATAAATTTGAATTTTTACAAATAAAATCAAAATACAAGCAGACTTTTTTTAAAATTTGATCGTACCTTGTTCAACTATTTTACATCAGATGTGTTTTATCAAGTTGTCATTTATTTTATCACTTACTTAAAAAATGCCAAGCATGATGATAAAACAGCACAAAAATCGTTACCTATGGGAATATCGACGGACAGTATTTCCTGGCTGACGTGTCCTCTTACGAGGGCTAGATAGTACTTCTGGACGGCCCTCCTCTCGAAAGCTGTAGTCGCAGCCTTGCACGCCTTTTTGTTCAGAGCGATGCATATCACACCGCTTGTGACATAGTCGAGCCTGTGGACGAAGTAAAAGTCGTGCTGAAGTTTTGGGTTTATCAGGCCGGGGAATTCGTGGCTGAGCCGCCTGTGAAGAGATCCCTGCAAATGCGATTTCAATTTTAATTGAATGATGGGTGAATTTAAAACAGGGGGGATATATTTCAGTATAATTGAAAGCATTCTCTTCATTAATCATTGATCTTCAACCCTTATTCTCAAATCTTGCGATAAAACTGCCTATATTTTGTAAGTAGAATTTCCTTGCAAATTGTTCACTCGTTAGTAAATACTTCAAACCGAACAGTTTTTAAATAATAATTATAATGCAATATTGTAAGGAAGAAAGGATGAATTAATTGACCATCAGGATAAGTACAAAACTTTGAACAAATTTTATTATTATTATTTTATTGTCTTAATTTTATAAGACTTGTTCATTTCAGCTTGATCCAAAACCCTTACGATGTTGGATGCGGCTATCATCAACAACCGTAAATGCTCAGATTATCTTATAGTGTTGAATGAATGGTTATATTTATTTGTCTCTCCAATAAAACCATTTCATAAGCCTGACAAGATGACAGTGTGCTTGGTCACCGACGCATTGGTTCCAGACATTTAACAAATCGAAGGCAGTGTGTGAGAATAGACAGCACAGACAATAAAATAGAAGATGTACATGGAGTACCTCAAGGGTCGGTGCTGGGATCAATCTATTTTTTGCTTTACATTAATGATTTACGACTCACCATGGCCTGAAAGGTATCCCGACTGTCTTTGCTTATGATATATCAGTTGAATATTCAGTAAGAACGTGGAAGGAGGTAGAGGAGCATATACAATTTTAAAAAACAACCTAAATTTTTTTAAGCAATGATTTTGCAAAATATTGTTTTTCTCTTAATATGAAATCTATTCAAAGACTACATACAGGGATATAAAAGTCTAATTTCATTATTCAGGTTGTACTGATCTTACGAATTGTAATAATTGTTTCAATATTGAAAAAGTTGATAAAACAACATACTTGTCAATATAGTCAATTAAAGCGGTTCGCACGCAGAGGGATAGTTAAAAAAAAGTTGTTGCATGGCCTAAGGAAGATATATTTTTTTACGCAATTAATACTATAGAGCCTTCCATCTTGAAGTTTATTATGCCCTTATCCAGTCCCATTTTTAAAAATTCAAATTTATTTACAGGATGAATAAGAAAAAAATAAATTTTATTCTGGGGCATGGGATCCCTGGAATAACAAAAAAGTACAAATTTTGGCACAAATTTATGTCAAAATGAATATAAATTAAAATAAATTAAACGTACTTAATTAAATAAGAAGGGGAAAAATTAACAATTAAATCCAGAATTTATAGGTTAAGGAAGGAGTGACTAAAAGCAGTGGATCTGTATGAGGAGGGAGGGGGTAGAGATCACAAAGGCAGGAAACAGTATGTAGAAGACTTAAATATAAATATAGAAAGAGGAATGGGAAGAAATTGTCTAAAACTATGGTTCTTCCCATTTTAGAATACTTAGAGTAGATACTTAGAAAATTCTAAGTAATTCAATAGAAAATGTTCAGAGATAATTTATTCATACTCTTTGGTTTAAAATTACTAGAATTTGGATCACCGCATAGACTTATTAACGCAGAACTACAACTGCTAAACATAAAAGGACAAAATAATAGCCTGATATTTTCTTACAAACTATTAAATAGCATGATCGACTGTCCACTATTAATCAATTTGCTAAATTTCCATGTTTCACAGTGTAACACCAAACAAAAAATATTTACAAAATTTAATTATAATATAAATTATTTATAATTTTGCCAGATTCCTCGACTCATGGAAACTAGTAATAAACTTCCTTTATATTGCGACACTTTTTACCTTTCCATAAGTCACTTTAAACATTTAAAAAATATATATTGATCATGGCGATTGTGTTTGATTTGTTTTTATATTTCAGTGGTTTTCGTTAAATTTTTTTTTTTCATATTTTTTCATCACTTTTTATATATTTTTATACACAAGTGTATTATAACACAATACTTACAATATTTTATTTGCATTTGTTATGTTGAATATGTCCATATTTTTAATTATTGTTATATGTATATTAGTATTTACCATATTTGTTTAGTGGTCATAATTGACCATATATTGACCAAGGTGGGGTTGAGATGGGAAGTTAGTGTCCGAGTAGATCAAAGTCATAATAGCTCAAGTGGCGTATCTAGCACGAAGGTCGTGGGTTCGAATCCCGCTCGTGACACTGACTTTTTTATCTCAACTAAAAACCACAATTAATTGAACTATATATAATTAATAATGAATAATTGAAACATAAGTAATAATTCCAATTAATTATTCTATCTAAGGATTTTTTTATCTCAACCAAAAATCTTAGATAAAAAGAATAATTAATTGGAATAATAATATAGTCAATTATGACCACTAAACAAATATGAGTAAATACTAACACACATATAACAATAATTAAAAATATGGACATATTCAGCATAACAAATGCAAATAAAATATTGTATGTATTGTGTTATAATACACGTGTATAAAAATATATAAAAAGTGATGAAAAAATATGATAAAAATTTAATGAAAACCACAGAAATATAAAAACAAATCAAACACAATTGCCATGATCAATATATTTTTTAAATGTTTAAAGGGACTTATGGAAAGGTAAAAAGTGTCGCAATATAAAGGAAGTTAATTACAGTTTCCATGAGTCAAGGAATCAGACTAAATTTTAAATAATTTATATTATAATTAAATTTTGTAAATATTTTTTGTTTGGTGTTACACTGTGAAACATGGAAATTTAGCAAATTGCTTAATAATGGATAGATGATCATGCTATTTAATAGTGTGTAAGAAAATATCAGGCTATTATTTTGTCCTTTTATGTTTAGCGGTTGTAGTTCTGCGTGATCCAAATTTTAAACCAGAGAGTATGAATAAATTATCTCTGAACATTTTCTATTGAATTACTAGTATTTTCTCACGTGTGACCAAACAACTGAACTGTATTCTAAAACGGGAAGAACCATAGTTTTAAACATTACAATTATAGTTTCTGCATCCATAAAATTTTTTTGTAGTTCTACGTACGAAGCCTAAAATTTGATTTGCCTTATTTACTATGTTATAAGTGATATAAATTCAACCATTTTCACTTATCCATCTCAGTGGACAATGATCATAGTAAATAATAGCGTAAAGAAGCTTAAATAAAATTAAAACATCCATAAATAAACATCAAAAACCAAATGAAAACAATATTTATTTATATGACTTACAGATACCGTCGGGTCATTGCTGTTGATAAGCACATCATGCTCTTTGCTCACAACAATGAAATTATCACTTTTGTGAAGTATCACTAAACCGTTTTTCCTTTCGGTGAAAAGTTTCTTGTAAATAACAGACCAAAAATTGCTATAAAAAAATATCAATTTTATTAATTCTTCGATGATGTTCATATCCGGGGCAAAGACGATCAATCACTTATCATAGTTTTTAATATTGGGAATAAAATCGATTTTCGACCCTTGCTAGTTGGTCAATCTTTTATTTTAAATTGTCAGTTTGTCATAATTTAAACGAATTTTAAGCGTTTATTGGGTATAAAAAAACTTCAAATTATAACCGGTCGGCGTATTCTGTAACCCAATTTTATCAGCAAAAGGGGAAAATAAGCGGGCCTTTTGAACTTGATGAAAAATCAAGCCACTTTTTATTTTTAAATAAATTTGTCAAATAAAAAAAACATGGTCTAGTTTTATAACAATAAGTAGAAATGGAATAGATGATATAAATTCAGTGTTTAGGACCGCCATCATCAGAGTTTTAGGACCGCCATCATCAGGTTTTATTGAATTTTTAATTGGTCTTTTGCTTCGTCATGCTTTCTCGCATCAAAATTATTTAAATAAAGGCTAAATTAAGTGTCATTTGTTTCAAAAACATGTTTAAAAAAAGGCTTCCATTAACATTTTCAAATTTTCACCATGAGAACCTTAAGCTAAAAGCACCCTCATTAAAACTTGCTGAAGATTGATAGCATCAATGCTGAAAAGCAGCAAAATGGAGGCCTCCATATTCATAATGAAATCCTGAAAATGATAAAAAATTAATGAGATGGCTACAAAAAATTCCAATAATTAAAAGAAAATGTTCCTAGATAAATAACAAGAGATGTTTAGAATAATTAAAAACGCTGAAAATAAAAGGGCCTTTTTATGTTATAAATGTAGACGGATCTAAAACGATTGATTTTAATGTACCAAAACCTCTAGACCCCACATCGTCATTATTCCAAGCTGAGATTCACTTCATTCGAAAAGAAATACTCAAAAAAATAATAAAATGTGCATGGATATACTCTCATGCACCCAAGCAGCATTAAAGCTAGATAGGGAATGAACCTATGGATCACTAATCAGGTGGAACAAAGCTCAACAAAAGTAGCTACCCAAACATTAGGCAGCATACAAAGACTAGCAAATTTATGTAACACAGGGGCAATGAGAACAACCCCTACAAACGCATTAGAAACTTTGCTAAACCTACCTCCACTGGAAATATTCATACAAGGAGAGGCTAGGAAAAGCTCACTTAGGCTCCAGAAACAATTAAATTGGAAAGGAACTAAACAATTTGGGCATTCAACCATAATCAACAAAATCAGACACCCATTATTAGAAATTAATTAATGGGTATTAATAGAAATGGGGACTGATTATATGATCCCGGAAACAATCTTCACAACTTCCTATATAGTCTCAATGGACTATAAAGGAGAGGAAGAACACAGAAGAGCATCAGATACAATGATATGGTACACAGATGGCTCCAAAACAAACGAAGGAACCGGATCAGGCGCTTTCTGTACAAGCCCAAAACATGAGCAATCAAACTCATTAAGGAAGTACACTTCGGTCTTTCAAGCGGAAATACATGCCTTCAATGCTTGTGCCCTGGAAAAATCTTAAAAGAGGTTACACTGACAAAAAATCCTCATAAGATCAGATAGCCAAGCAGCCATTAAAGCATTAGCATGTAAAAGAATCACATAAAAATTAGTCAGTGAATGCATCCAAAATCTCCAAAACCTGGGGAAACACAACAAACTGATATCTTGGGTGCCAGGGCACAGGGGAATTTTGGGTAATGAGAAAGCAGACAGACTGGCCAGAGGAGGATCTGCAAGACCATACATAGACCCCGAACCTATTCTTGGGATAATAAAAACATATGTAGAATCCTCCATCACAGAATGGATCCAAACAAACCAAAATAAGTGGATAAACTCTAGCGGTGCTAGACATAGTAAACTTATGATAAAACAACCCTCACCGAGACTGGCAAAAACACTGCTGCAATTGGAGAGAGCCAAACTCAGAGGAGTGGTAGGACTACTAACCGGTCACTGGTATCTGAGAAAACATCTACACAACATGGGTATATACAGCGATGATCCCATTTGCAGTTTATTTAATGAGGAGGAGGAAACAGCCACTCATATCATCTTCGAATGCGAAGCAACAGCTCAATGGAAGTTTAACCTTATGTACGGAAAAAACTTAGGGGAATCAAATTCCAACAGCAACAGTCAATGACCTGATACTTCTAAGAAGCAGGATTGAGTCTATTGACTGAACTAAGGAACTAGGAAGGTACAATAAGCCAGAAGGCTGCAGTGCCTAGGGAGTACAAACCCCACTTCCTAGTATTCTTTTCTCCCATACTATACCATAGACAGGGTATGGTAATGTATCAATTCCTGAGAAAACAAAATATGGCCATTTTGATGTGGATGGTACACAACTGGACCGAAGACTGTGCAGATATTTTTAGGAAGAATAAACAGTGGAATATCTCCTCTTGGTGCGTAGGCCTACACAGACAGGAAAAGAAAAGACCTGAAAACAGGCTGGCTTACGAGTGCCAAGTTTTGGAATCTGGTAAAAAGCTTTAAGATAAATGAAGATCTCTAGACAATGATGGAGAGTGCACAAGAATACCTCGTCAGTGAGCAAGGACGTAGATGTGACTCAACATATTTTTAAATTTCTAAAGAATATATGTGTTTCAGGTTCTTCCTCAAATTATAATAGCGATTGGTTCTCAACGTTACGTTTCATGAAAAGAGAAAAATATATAATTTGTTTTATTTTTATTAAGACGTATTTTTATATTAATCAATAATTTCTGAAGTGATTTGTTGTCGGTACTCTTATTGTCAATGTGCTGTCAGGTCCGACTGAAAAGACCAACTTGTGCCAGTCGAACGCGCCCGGGATGGTGTACTCCCTGTAAATGACCCTCCTGAGCCCGTGTGCTTCCGTCGTCTGGGTGCGTTTGATCAGATCGAACTCCTGAACATCGACGCTCAGCCCTCCATTTATCGGTCTGACATCGACCCTACCCCTGCCTTCCTGTACACCTACATTTTTCACATCTATGTACATCTGAAATAACACGACAGTTACTTTTTTTTTTTTCTTTAAATAATATTTCATGTTATCTTACAAAGAGATATAGGTTTGTAAAATTGAAAATTGTCGGTAGTAGATTGTTGCCATCGTCGAATGGATCGTTTGGCAGTACTTCAATTGTGTTTTGAGCCTTTAGTGGAAATATTTTATTGGATAAATAAGTACCACCTAATAAAAAATTTTAAGAAAAGTCGTATCATAATAAAAAAATATATTGTTTAAAATAAATAATAAACTAAAAAATTCTTTAAGTTTTATCACAACATACCTTTGTACCCAGGACTGCTGTCAGGAGCTGTGGCAATGCATTGTTCCAATGATGCTAGATTTTTCCTCACTACGTCCAGATCTGGCTCGTCGTCAAACTCCGATTGTCTATTCCTTTCCAGTGTGACCATTGTGTAAAGATTTGGATTTTTGTTTTTGAAAATAAATAAACACAGCTGGTGATTTATCATTAAAATAAGGTAATTAAAGATTACAGTGTTTTTTTTAAGAATTACTTTATTTACAATTATATTCGATACATTTTTTTTTATGTACAACTACTAGCGTCTATGATTTGATCGCACCTTTGACAGAGTTCGTCTTTTGTGTCGGAACAGTAACGACGGCACCTTTCACAGTAGAATAAATCAGTGTGAACAACTTCGACCGTAAAGTTTTCGACTTCTTTGTCCAAGTACAATTCTACGCTGGACGCTTGAAGAAAACTGACCAGTTCTGAGTTTGACGATTTTTCTTCATTTTGTAATTTCTACAAAACGCAGATTAATTTATTGTGTTGATGATAGGTTAATATAATTGAAAAGTACCTTTAGATGTTTCCAAACGTCCTTGCAGGCTTTAATGACACAAACAATCTGATTCTCGGTGAGATTCACAGGGCATTTATTTAAAAATTCTTTCTTGACTAAAAAAGCCTCTTTCATGACCTTATCAACATTTGGTTCAATTTTAAATGAATACGCATTAACATCTTTGATTTGTTGAAAGAAAAATGGAACATAATCTAAGAAAAATAAAAATAAAAATAAAAATGTCCTATTTTGATCAAATAAGTTAAAACTTTTACCCTGGTTGTGAGGGTGATTCATATATACTTCTTCAGCTAATATTGGCATAATAGGCGCAAATGACATCGTAAGAGTATTCAGTATATGGTACATGACATGCTGCACACTTTGCCTACTATTACTGCCTAAATCTTCACAGTACAATCTGCAAATATATTATAAACGTAAGTTGTTTAAATTACACAATGACTAAAAAAAAATAACACCTGTCTTTGGTAATGTGTAAGTAAAAAGAAGAAAGATCGTTTGCGAGAAAATTCACAATCCTTGAGCATACTTTATGAAATTGATAAGAAGCATAATATTCATCTATCTAAAATTTCAAAATTAAAATTACACAAATATAAAGTATAGAATTATAACTGTATTCAATGGACCTGTGATTTAAATTCTTTTAAGCTGTTGATCATGTACTGATCAATTAGTTCCATTTTTGGTGGTGCGTTGACTAGTTCGGTCGAGCAGCCGTGCAAAGAGCCGAGCAGGAATTTCAGTGTGTTGCGCAATTTTTTTACTGCTTCGGCGCTGTCATTCAATGCCGATTTGGATACGCGAATGCTTATATTCTGTGTGGCATGTGCTGCGACCCACCATCTGAAAACACTTCCTTTAGCAAGAGGACATGCCTGCTAGTACAAATTAATGCTGTTGCCTAAGTTACCTGACAACGTCGACACCAAACGGTGGCTCTTTCTTGATATCCGACCCGCCGAAACACAAAACCTGGGGGTCTATAACATTCCCGAGAGACTTTGACATTTTTTTACCTTGTTCATCCAAGGCGAATCCATGCACAAAAATGTTCCTAATAAAAAATTTGTTAATTACACAAAACAAATTTGTTTAAAAAATTAAATTAATGAAAAATAAACAACAATAGTATAAGGAAAATGTGACTAGCTATCAATTTAATTGTTTAATAATTTTTTGACATAATTTTGAAAATATCTATAATACTGAAGTCCCCAGGCCAGATTGGAGCTAGAGCTGAAGCAAAAAAGCATGATAGGCAGATCATAAATGACCAAGCTACAGGAAGAAATCCCACAATTTGGATCTAAAGGTTCACATGTTTTTAGACCTGGCTGGCAATGATTCAACACAATTTTAGTACAACACATTTTATAGTATTCCTGTGTAAAGGGTTCAATGTATTTCATCGAGTCAATGCACAGGACATGCTTGCAGGACATGGATGGGTAAATAAATAAATACAACTATGAGTCAATCATTCACACCAAGGAAAACAATACGGTTGGTTAGATGAACTAGGAAGTAGCGGAAAATTAAAATAAAAGGCAAAATAAAATAGAAAGAGATGGGAGAGGCCTTTCGTTTATGATTATTTTGGTCTGATAGAACAAGGACAGCAAGATCAAAGGCTTCCCTCACTTCTAGGAAAGCATCCTAGTCACATTCCTTCAGCTTGAGAGAAGTGATGATATCTGATTATCTGCCACTCTGTGTAACTGTTGAATGGTACAATTCAATGACACTCGAGCTTAAAAGGATGGTGTATATGTGTTTTAAAAGTAAATGGTTAGGGATTAAAGTGTAGCATATATGATACACCTTCAGATCATCTGTATACTCCCATCAAATTTCCACTTGTTTCTGACCTCTATCCACCTAAACATAGTACCGCTAAATTCACTCGTTAATTCCTCATCCGTGCCTCCTACCTAAGGAATTTCCTTCCTTACTATATCTGCCCCATCCCTTTCCACCTTTATGTCCATTCTTTTTGATTTCCTCTATTCTTTACAACTTGGAACTGAATTTTTCAAAGTAGAGTATTTTGACTTTATATGTATATATTTTTTTTAAATGTATCTTTGTATAGCTTTATCAGGCTTGATTATGTTGTATTCATTAATTAATTCTTCAAGGGCACTTCAAATCCAAGAATAAAGTTTATTTTTCATTTCAATTCTTTCTAGTTTCCCTTCTGGTTTCAATTTCCAATATTTGCCTGCAAATTTTCCTAATTTATCTTTCCATCTAGTGTATTGTCCTCCGTGATTTTTATTCTACACTGATTCCAAAATGTAGTTTGTGTTGTCCACCTGTTTCTTATACTTGTTGGCAAAATATTAACGCCATGCACAGGAAATACTAGAAAATGCTGAAAAGTGTAGTATCACACTGCCGGAAGATTTACCGTATACTTTTAGTTCCAAATAGGGAAATTTGTTATGTTTTTTGTATTGTCCATCTGTTTCTCATCTTGCAAACATGTCCTGGGTCTGGCTATCATCGCTGTTTGGTCTGATTGGATGATAGGAAGACCAAAATGTTTGGAAATGACAAAATTTCAAATTTTGTCAGTTTGTTTCCAACAAAGACACAAATTATTATTTTCCTATGAGCATAGAATAACCAATCTTAATCAAGACCAAAAAATAAATTTCTAGTAAAAGGATATTTAAAAACAATAATATTTTGTTTGTTTTATAATCAACAAATTGATTTATTAATGTGTAAGTAATTAAAAACAAATGAATTAAGAGTGGACCATCCCAGATTGCCCTGTATGTCTCTCCACCCATAATCTTAAATATTTTTGTAAATGTTATTTCACATAGTGTATTGAAAATTATAAATATTCTTACTACTGTATGTTACTAGAATTATGCTAAATTTTCTTTTTGTGACGTCTCATGAGACAACGTGTAAAAGTAATAACCTTCTCGCGTACGGCAGTAAGGTTATTACTTCTATCAATTAGAAGCCAAGAAATAAGCTCTCAAGCATAAGTGGATCTAAATAAAAAATAAATAACAAAAATTTCCTAGATAATATGTAAAACACAATTTTTCAGCTGTAATAATAAAAATTTCACAAAAATGAGATAAATGTAATATGGATATTACTAATTTGATCAGATCGGTCCGATGCAGAGAACCAATCTGGAACCGTCAGCATCCTCAGTATAAGGACAGGGAATATTCCATGTTCCTATGGTCTCAGGTAGCTTCAGAAGTCGGAGTAGATGGTAATTTGTATTTACATATTAAAAAAATGCCAACTAGAAAAAATATATTTAAGTTTTTGTTTTTAGTGGAAACTGCGAGGTATAAATGGAGAGGGTTGCGAGACACATTTCGAGTACAGCTGAGAAAATTGAACCAACCACAAGCCAAGAGGCCGAAAAGTCAATTGCCTCAGAAGTGGGAATATTTTGACGAAATGAATTTCGTCAAAGAGCAGATCTACATCGATGTCAACAGGAAGAAATACTACGACAAAGAGAAGATGAGTGAAATCAAAGACGACGAAGACGAGTCAAAAGACGAAGGCGAGGAGGATTTCGAAGAGACGGAGAAAAGTGACGAAGCCGCCGAAGACTACCAAGGCCTCGCCGATTTCTGCATCACCGAGGTCAGGGAGGACACGGGATGCCTCGAGTTCGATTATAACGACGAGAGAAACTCTGATGTTTCAGAAGAGGAGTTGACGTTACTTAACAAACCGCATATGAACTACCTGCTCCAGAGGAAACTCAGATCCCTTCAAGACGACAACTACTGCTTCCTCATGAGCGTGCTTCCACAACTCAAATCACTTCCGAACAAAGAGAAACTCTACATACGAATCAAAATTCAAGAAATGTTATTAGCTGAAATATTAAATCTAGAAAACCAAAAGTAACGCATTATTTATTTAAAACGTTTGATCTCATTTGATGATATTTAAGACTTCTTTTTTATTTATTTATTTATTTAATTTACGCTTATTTGGATTAATGTAAAATTAGTTGTACAAGTATAAAAAGCTTTAATAGTTACAATATTACAAACCTTTTAAAGCCAGGGGCATTGAATTTAATTCATGTATTACAAATTGTAGCCACAGAATGTATTCTGTGAACCCAGGCCTTAAGAGGAAAATTATTAACGAAAAAAACCAAGAACAACTACAAAAAGTTCAACTATAAAGTTTTCATTTAAGTCAAAGCATGTAGTTGTAAGAATTTAAATAAATTCCTTGATATGTTTCTTTAATACAAAAATTTACTTTGACTGTAGAAAAACTGTTCTTCTATTCACTTTGATAGATAATTTGTAATTGCTTATTACATTTTATTATTTTAAAATTTATATAAATCAAAAAAATTGCCAAAGATTTATGTTTAAATTTTAAACCAATAACAATACGTCTAGCAAGGTAAAAGGTTAAGAAAAGGAAAACGATAATCGCACATCACCAGAAGTTTATCTTTAATATAATTGTAGATCCGTCCATTTATTTATTTAAACAGTACTTTCAAAATAAAACTTGTGCAATTACAAAATACCACATTTCAATTGTATCTTTGGGTACAAAAGTACATTATTGATTTGATCACAGTTATCTTTTATAATTAAGGATCCTGAGTGTAATAAAATGTATGTTTTGATACATTGTATTTTTTAAAATAAAAGTCCATTTTAAATTATTATTTGTGTTTAAATAAGGAGAAAAAAGAACGGGATTTGACTTGAAGATGGGAACCTATGTATTGTGACTGAGTGTATACATATATATTTTTTTTCCATATGTACTTTTTTATTTTAATACTCAAACCTATTTTTCCAGTTAAATGTATAAATTATGCTGATCAAATGTTATCATTCTAGGTAATATCTTTCAATTAATTATGGTTTTTAGTTGAGATAAAAAAGTCAGTGTGACGAGCGGGAGTTGAACCCACGATCTTTGGTTAGATACGCCGCTGTTCTACCACTTGAGCTATCGTGACTTCGATCTACTCGGACACTAACTTGACACTGACTTTTTTATCTCAACTAAAAACCTTAGTTAAGTGAAAGATATTAATTGGTCAAGCGGACCACGAAAACTAGTGAATTCTAGGTAATAATGGTCTATTTGTATCGTACATTTGAATTAATACTAAAATATTTTTTATATTTTAGTATTAAAATGTACTAAAATATTTTTTATATTTTAGTATTAAAATATACTAAAATATTTTTTATATTTTAGTATTAAAATATACTAAAAAATATAAGTTTTCTATATATACATTTTTATATACATTGTATATACTGTATAGTATATAGTTTCTATATATACTATATATATACATTTTCCAAATTACAAACTGAGAGCACAAATGATGAAGTAACATAGATCAACAAGTTTCATGAAAATGTAAAATGTACACACTTTTGTATAATGTTTTGCCCTTGTTTTAAACTCATCATTATCAGGACTGTGAAATTGACAGTTACATAAGACACATTGAAAACAGGATATTTCACAGATTTTATTCTAGAATTTTTATTAATTTTTTTTGTTACGGCTATATAATCGAGCGATTCCTGATCTTCCTAATGATAATCTAAAAATAGAAAATAGTAAGTTGTGAGATTTCTTAATGTGGTCTGCAGTGTGATGAACCTGATAACTGGCCATTACCGATCGATGCCAGGGGAGGAAAATACTCTGTGAATTGACTTTTTTTTTTCATTTCAACATTTTTGGTGAAATTGTTTTATTCAGTTTAATCTTTTATTTAGCTATATGTTATATTTTTATTTAAAAATATCCAGTAAACAGCAAAAAGTAAAAATAACAATTGCAAGTATTTACTTACAAAAAAAAAAAAAACCACTGATGCAGACATCCAAAAGGCGCGAAATGCTGTCCAGTCAGCGCTCCATGAAATCAGCTCCTACTGTAAAACCTGGAAGCTCACAATCAACCCCAGCAAATGCGAAGCAAAAATATTTAGTCTGAGAAGACCCCGCAACCCAAACGAATTGAATATCGAAGGGACTAGCATTCCCTGGAACCCTCCCGACAGTGCTGTCAAGTACCTCGGAATAAAAATGGATAGGAGACTAAATTATAACATACACATTAATGGCAAACTGCAAGAAGGATACACCCGCCTCAGTATGTTGTACCCGTTAATGAATAGAAATCCAGGCTTAAGCCTGAAATATCTCTCCTGACTTATACATCCATCATAAGACCTTTGATGGGGTGCAAAATATGGAGGGCCGCCTCACCATACAAAATCAAAAGAATCCAGGTACTACAGAACAAAATTCTGAGGATTGCAGTAGACGCAGAGTGATTTGCGCATAATTCCCAGCTGCCTCAATAATTGCCACCTTCCATCGGTGAAACTATCCAAGAGAGATTCAGAAAGTTTCACTACAGCAGTAAAAGGAGCTGTACACTTCCAGCTGGGGAACAAGATCGCATCGAGGTTAAAGCCGCGTACCCTCCAGGATGTACTGGACATTGTTTGAATATAGCAGATAGTGGACATTATGCACATTTGTGCATGCATTTCCTCCATTGCTGAAAAAAGGCTCATGATAGACCAGATGAGAAGTATTTAATACAAGACAATCACTGTGTATAACTTGTACTAAGTTGGTCTAGTGTAATAAGTGTGTAAGTGTAAGTGTGTTAAAAAAATTAATAATAATATAAAAATAAAAAAATAATTTAGAGCTGTTGTTTGCCTTAAGTATGGCGGAAAGGCGGATGCCTAATAAAAAACCCTCAACATCCTCCGATCTCATACAGGGTAGACCCATATAATTAAAAGTCTAAAAAATATTACTTGGTGACTCTCTCACCTGTTACAGTAACACATTAATAAAATAATTAACAACTGAATCAACAGGTACTATATAAACCACCATAGACACATACAATTAATCCTTCAAGCCTATAAATACATTCACGTATATGTGTAGTAACTGTAGTTTTGAAATTTCCCAATACCTGATTCCTCATACTACAAACATGTTTACACAATACCTCGACTGCTTATTTTACGCTTAATGAATTTCAGCAATATTTTTAGAATAAAATTTCCTTACCCCTCTCTTTTAACCTAATAAAAGATTCGTGTGTGATATTAAAACATACATGGTTTGAAAATCTGCTCTCAGCAATAAGTCAGGGATGATCAAATTGTGAATTTATTATGGCTTAAAATAGAGGGGAAATGTCTGAACTTACTTGTACGGCGCTCTATCTTTTAACGCCACCGAAGTGAGGAGTGAGGACTGGAACCATCCTGTGAACTGGTCGATACCTTCGACGTACAAATCGGCTTGTTTGCCTTCTAAGACTGCTGACCATGATAAGCCGCTGTCTAGCCAGATATCGATGATGTCCTTTTTGTGGAAAAAAAATTAGCTATGTTTTAACACGGCAAAAAGTTTGCTACTTACTTCGCTTTTTGTAACTTGGTCCATGGGCAATTCTGATTTGAGTTCGTTCGGTATCAGGCTTTTCAAGTCCATCCACCACCAGCAATCAGACCCGTGTATTTTGATCAGTTCACATAAATGATCAACAAAATCTCTAAAAACAATTGAATTAACAAAAGAATTGAAAAATTATAAATTGAAGTTACTTTGTTACAACAGGCAAGCCGACAGAGTACAAAGCGGGTATTGGGACACCCCAGGCTCTTTGGCGAGATATACACCAATAAGGACGTTTTTCAAGTCTCGTTTGGAAACTGTCGTCTAAATTTTTTGGTACGATCTCAACATCCTGTAACACTTCCTAAAAAAAAAACTTTTGAAATAAAGCTGTCAAAAAATCCTAATAAAAAAAGAATATTTACTATGGCTCTTTGCTTAAGAATTTCAGTATCGATAAACCATTGTTTACTGGCTCTTAAAATGACAGGGGTTTTTGACCTCCAGTCGTAAGGATACGAGTGTATAATTGATTCTTCATTCAGTATGTCGTTTTTCAACATTTTAACAATTGTGTCGTTGCCTTCTTTCAAAACGAACAGCCCTTCCAAGTCGGGGCCTGCTTCGGGTAAATACTTGCCATTTTCATCCACTAGACAAAGCTAAAAAAAAATTCTCTTTTTTAAAAATGGTCTTGATTGATTGAAACTTTACTCACCACGCTCATTTTGTGAACCAGGGCTAATAAAAAGTCATCAGGGCCATGAGCGGGCGCTGTGTGGACGAGGCCGGTGCCGATATCAGAAGTGACATATTTGGCAGGGAGTAGGGGAAGTTCTTCACCGCTAATTGGATGTGTGTAAGAAGCTTCCTGCAAATTCATTCCTAAAATTGTAAAAAAAGAAAAGAGTTAATGTAATTATACTAAATTATCAGTAGTAATTAAAATTTTTCGAATAAAATTGTATTATAATGAACTTTAAAAAAGTATAATTCTTCCAAATTATTAGATAATCAGTACCAACTTCGTACCTGAAAATGAACTGATTATACTAAAATTTTTGTTGACCTTTTCCTTTAGTTTATCAGCTTGATCTTGCGCGACAATATAATAATCTTTTTCGCCAGAGAATTGGACAAGAAGGTAAGTGAAATAAGGATGGAAAGCGATGGCCTGGTTGGCAGGAAGAGTCCAAGGGGTTGTTGTCCATACCAAAGCGTAAACATCACCCTCCGTAACGGTGAAAGTTTCTGGCAACTTCTTCATCTTAAATCTTAATGTTATAGCACGACTTTTATGGTTTGGGTTATATTCGAGTTCTGCTTCTGCCAATGCAGTCCTTAATAAATAAAAAAATTAAAAAAGAGAAAAAAATAATAACAAATCTACTCACTTGGTAGAAGGTGACCAGAAGACAGGCTTAACTTCTCTATAAACATACCCCTAGAGAGTAGATTTTTTTTTTTTTAATTGTACATGTTTAATAAGATCAAAATAGTGCTTAAAAAAGAAAAAACCTTTTCATAAAGTTTATAGAACTGTTGCAGTTGATTGCAGACGTAATTTGGGTCGAAAGTATGATAACTATCATTGTCCCAATCTGCCATGACCCCCCACGAGCGAAAGACGTTTTTTTGGTCGTCGATCGTTTGTTTGGCAAAATTTCTCGCTAAAAACATCACATATAATACATCGCAGAGAAATATTTATATTACGATAAGTACCTTTTGCACGGACATCCAGCGGATCCAAATTCTGTTCCAAACTACTTGCCGTGAGGGCTTTCAGTTCGATGGGAAGCCCGTGACAATCCCAGCCGGGCTTAAAGTGTACTTTATGCCCGGCCAAAAGCTTCGACCGGTTTATTATGTCTTTCAAAATCTACAGATAATAATTAAATAAAATAAACATTTGAAATTTAATTAGAAAGATCTATTAGCAGGACAGGTGTTACTTGCTTTGTTAATGGCATGGCCCATATGTGGCATCCCGTTAGCGTACGGAGGTCCATCGTGCAAAACAAACTCTTCTCCTTTTACATTTTCTCTCTGCCATCTGTAAAGGCTCATAAAACCACAATTCTAAAACAAAAAGACATAAAATATAAATAAAAATCAACATATAAAGAATATAAAATTATATACATGCAATTATACAGTTCAAGTAAGTATATAAATATTTATTGTACTACTTCACGAGCTAAAACAATAAATTAAATAAAATAAATAAATAAACCAACAATGTTAACCTTTTAAACATATGTATTTTTATTATCCTCTATCCACGGAATATTAATATATGATAACTGCTGTTTCATCAGTTAAAAATAGATCATAATGATATCAAGAATATTTTTATGCTGAGCTGCAACATGTAATTTTCTCACTCAGCTCATATTTTATCTGCCTATTTCTGATATGTTCTATTTAATTTTTTTTTTTTACTGTTTCTAGCATTCACAATGCAAAGTAATACTCAGAGAACATCACTTTTAAGCAACAAAAACACTAATTACCAATAATGGTATATCTATATGTAAAAAATAATCCTTAGGGTGTTTTCTGTTTGGTCTATTTACTCCACAAATCTTATTTGACATACTAGCAGTCTGAGTTCGAATCCCTACATAGCTCTTGTAATTTAATTTGACTATAACTTTTTTATATTTTTGCATAAAATATAGTATAATACACTGTATAACCTTAAATAAAGTGGTTTGACACCTTGAACACCACACCCAAGGTGTCAACGAGCCCTTCTGTTTGACTGAAATTACTTTCATCATAGTTCTTGACATGTGAAGAAAGCCAAAATGTATGAAATTGAACTTTTGCCTCAACATTCCTGGCCTTGCACCTTCAGACTACCACCTCTTGTATGGTGGTTCATTTATTCAAGGAGAAAGGGTTTTATGTATTGGGAGACATTTTATGAAAGCGCTGGATTTACCAAGCATGTGTTAATCCGAATGATTTTTGATTGATTGGTTTTACTTAAAATTGAATCTATTTGCAATGTACAAAAACTAGATTCTGAAGTATTTGGCTCTTTGTTTGTTTAATCATCACTGATCATCTTGGTGTGCCAAATGCCATGATATATTATTTTATATTAAAATGAACCAAAAATTAAAATATAATGTTCAAAACTAAATTAATTTCTTAAAAAGTTAACTTTTTTATTAGTTCGATCTTCACTGATCAACCTGCTGTGCCGAATGCTATTTTGTGTGAAAACATATTTTTGCAGGTGTCAGGTCAAAGTGAAATGTTCTTTAAAGTGGTCATTCAAAAAAATAGGATTTTTATTTTATTTTAGTCCAATATTTACACTAAAAATTGTTGATGTTTTGTGCAATTAAAACTCTTTGGAAATAAAATATCAATATTAAATTGCTTAAAAAGCCCACTGAAATTTAAAAATTCAAATCAAACCCAAAAGATCAAATCAGTCTTTTGATATGAATCAAATTTACATTGTAAAATTTGATTTTTCCTTTCAATTTTGCATACATTTAATCGCAAAATTGCTTGAATTGACACAAAAATAGTAAAGAAAAATATTCAATACTGAAGAGGGCTGAAATAACATATTTTTAAAGAAAATTTCTTACAAAAAAAAAAAAAAAAGTTTTCCCTAACCAGCGGCGTATTCAGCTAAGATAGTGGGTTCGAATCCTGCTCATGACACTACCTTTTTCATCTCAATCAAGACTTTAGGTAAAAAGAATATTTAATTGAAATAATTATTATGGTCAATTATGCTAAACTTATATAGATTAATTAACAATAAAATCAAATTTCTTTGTCATATAATTAATTTCTTAAACATGTGAACTTTGTTATTAGTTTGATCATCTCTGATTATCCGGATGTGTGCGATATGATATTTTATGTGAAAATATGTTTTTTTGCAGGTGCCAGGTTAACATGTTTGCTTCAAGTAGTCGTACAATGATAAAGGCAATGAAACATCCGACAAAAAGAACATAAAATTAACCAAAAACTGTATTGTAGAAAAGCTGGATTCTGAAATATGATGCTGTTTTTGATCGTCACTGATCATACTGGTGTGGCAATAGCCCAATAGCCATAAGTCAGCTTATATTAAAATTAACAATAAACTCAAACTTTATCATATGATGTTTGTAATTAAATTAATTTCTTAAACATATGAACTTTGTTATTAGTTTGATCGCCACTGATTACGTGTGTGCCAAATACTATTTTTTGTGAGAACATGTTTTTGCATGTGCAAGGTCAAAGTGAAACAACTGAGACAAAGCACTGATAAGAACATAAAATTAATCATTCATCATTACATTTTTTATGCCTCATGTCTTTATTGTTATTATGTACATCATTGATCTTCGTGGTATGCTAGTAACCATTATGTTAGGGCTTGTTTTGGCCTTTTCAACTATTTATTTTTATACTTTTGTCAGGACAGAGTGAACCAGTAAACAGACTTTACGATGATGTTTCTGGTTTTTAAAGTTTGGGGCAGTACAGACAGAATACATAAACAGAAACCATTCATATCAGCCAATAATCAATGTAAATATTTCCAATCAGTCCATCGAAAATCGTTCAAATTACACGACATATACCTCGATAATGTATTTGTCCAGTTCGACCCTTTTTGCATGAGATTGCCATTGCTGGAACTTGGTCTTCGGTAGATTTATAGTTTCAGAATATTTCCTCTTTGCTTTACCGAGCTTGTGAGCTTTCAAGTGGGTGCTGACACTGAAATTCACCCTGGGGCACACGAGGCCGAATCTTTTCACGTTTAGAAACATTTTCTACAGATTCCGACTAGCGAGGCAGCATAGTTTAAAGGTTGGAACAGAAAAGGCGTTGGGGAAGGTTTCGCCTTATCAAAACGGGTTTCCTTTCAGATTTATTCTACGCATCTCAGCTGTTTCTTATCACTGTGTATCTCGTTTACATTTGACTAAGGCGTTGTTTTTATTTATTTTTCACTTTTTGAAGATATTGCTGATTTTTTGATGATTCTTCATTATGAACTTGGATTCTGACGATGATTTTCCTATTAACGTGGGAAGGTACGTTTTATTAATCTAATTTTTCAGAATAAATTTTTTAATGTAAACTATTATTGTATTAGATAATGTGTGAAACTTGTACTTCTGTGCCAATGAGATCCCTGATCATAATGATCATCATATTCTTCAGATTATTTCTTTGCAACATATTTTCATTTGTATACGATGATAATGAAAGGAGAGTAAAAAGTGGGGTTTCCTCAAGCACTGCAGCCTTCCAGCTTATTGTTCTTTTCTAGTTCCTTAGTTCAGTGCAATCAACTTGATCCTTCTGCTAAGAAGACGGTCATTAAGTTTTGTTGCTACGATTCCTTTTCCTGGGTTTCTTAGTACACCAGGTTATGTCTCCTTTGATCAGTGCTTTGCAATCTAAGATGATAGTGGATGTTTTTTCCTCGTCATTGTGTAATTTACAAATGGAGTCATTATTTCATCATTGTATATGCCCATGTTATTTTGATGTTTGCTCACATGATAGTGACCAGTTAATAATCCTATCACTCCTCTGAGTACGGCTCACTCTACTAGTAATTGAGCTTGACAATCGTGATGCGGGTTGTTTTAGCAGTCTCTAGCATCTACATTTTTTTTAAAAATCCATCCTGTGATTTTTCTACATGCTAATGCTTTCATAGCAGCTTAGCTATCCAATCTCAGTAGAATTTTTTTTGTTAGTGTAGCCTCTTTTAAGGTTTTCTAAGTCACAGCATTGATGGCCTGTATTTCAGCATAAAAGACCAAGGTTACCCTAATGAGCATGATGCTCGTGTGTTGGGCTTGTACAAAAAATACGTGATTCGGTTGTTTTCTTTGTTTTGGGACCATCTGTATACCATATGCCCTGAATATTCTTCTTTGTGTTTCCAGGATCATCTAGTCCATCCCCATTTCTAAGAATAGGTGTCTGATTTTATTAATTATTGTTGCGTGCCCAAAGTCTTTAGTTACCATCCAATTTAATTGTTTCTGGAGTCTAAATGAGCTTTTCCTTGCTTTTCATTCTATAAATATTTCCAATGGAGGTAAGTTTTTTAGCAGCGTGTCTAGTGCAATGATGGGGTTGCCATTCTTTGTATGCTGCCTAATGTTTAGGCAGCTTGTATTTGCTGAACTTCAGTCGTAAAAAAACTCGCTTGTGACACTAATTTTTCATCTCAACCAAAAACCTTAGATAAAAAGAATAATTATTTGGAATATAATAGATTTTTTATCTCTTACATTAAACCTGTACCCTAATAATATTTGACATACAAAGTAATCACTAATTTAAAATTAGTTTCTTACAGTATTTATTACAGTACTCTTAAAGTAGGATAATATTTAGCTTTTATTTATTTTTTTTATTTTTTAATTTTTTTTTATAAACCCTCAGGGTGCCGGTGTTTTTGAAAAAAAGCCCCACACTTTAGCTGTGTTGTAATTCACGTTTTTCGTACGTTCAGAATTGAGCAGCATTAAAACCACACTTCACGTTGAGAGATGTGTTTTTAACCTCTTGAACCTGATGATGAGCATTTCATGCTTAAAATCCGGATTATAACAAACAACACATCTGTGAGAAGAACCATTATTTACAAAAAGTTAATCTACATACATCTTCATCATTTCTACTACTTATTTTTCACATCTTTGTGCTTACTTTTGCACTCAAACATTTTGTAGACACAAATAAAGGCAAAATAATTAAAAGGAGAGTCTAGGTTACAAAGGACAGCAGTAGAAGATATATGTAATAACGAGGATAATATTTTTAAAAAATTTAACATTTAGGATTTTTTAAACTTTTTTTCTGTCACAATTACTTTTTTGCATTAAATGTAGTATTATTATTATCATTAATTATTGCAGTTTTTCTATAATTTTGCAGGCAATTGTTAAAAATGTAATGTTAGATATTTGCATTATTATTGAATTTCATTGTTTAACTTTTTTAGCGCTAAATTGGCTAATCTGTTTAAAGATAGTGTAAAAAACGACGTTTCTTTTCATTACAATGCGCAGCCAAAGAATCCTGTTGTAAAACAGGCCAAACGGCCTCCTCCTCCATTGAGTGTAGTCATCGGGCGAACTGTCGACGCATTCCAATTGTAAAATATTTGTTTTTATTTTGACATCAAGATTTTTGCGTTAAAAAAATTTTTTTTTAATCATTTCCTTGAAGGAAGAAAAATGGTTATTCGCCTGAAGGGAAAGTTGGCCTGGTGATTTTAGGAAACGATGAAGTCTTCTATTACAAATTGTATATGTACAAGAACGACGAGACGAAAGTGGCGAGTTGTGAGATCACTCCGAATTTTTCCCTGCAGGTAATTTATATTTTTTATAAGTAAAGTACTTTTTATCCAAATAAAATGTTAACAAAAATATTTTATTCTTATTAGGTTCAAGAAAATAACTATATATCATTCCAAGACAGCAACGATATAACTTGGTCTTTGCATTTTGAAAAAGCATCCTGTTTGGTTCTATTTTGCAGAGAAGTACGACAACGAATAAAAATTTTATTTTTAAATTATTCTTATAATTTATTCCATCCTCAGCTAGCACTAGCCAGATGGAAATCTGAGCAGAACATGCTTACCACGGTGGAACAAGATGGTTTCAAAGGCAGTTCCAATCATAGAATAACAAATGAAGACAGGGTCGAAATATCCTTTTCCTGTTACATAATAAAAAATAACAAAATTGGAGAGGTTGGATACTATCAACGCTGTTAGTTAATACATGCAGTAATTTTATAAATGTTTTTAGAAATGTCATTCATGTAGAAAGGAAGATGCGGCGAGTTCGAGCATGTGGCCCGTTAGCCCAGTCCACAAGTGTTTAGACAGCAAATTCTTCCTTATCACGCAATGCGAGCAACTTGTCTGTTTAATGTTACGATCTTTCCAATATGTAATTCTTAAGGTTTAATTTTCATTTGTCGTACAATTTCAGAACGGGTTTGAACTCTCGGCTAATGCGAACGAAATAATCCTCGTGGAAATGGAAATAATAAATGTTATCAGAACAATCGCCGAGGCTCAGCAAGAAAAAGAGAAGCTCTCAGACACGTCTTCATTCAATCAAATGAGGTTTTTTTATTTTCTCTCTTTTATACATTACAATTTATGTTTAGTTCTGTACAACTGGCATTATATCAATGGGAATTTTTTGTATATAAACAATTAAAAGTTAATGCACTAGTTGGTTTATTTCCTGTTCAATTCTCTGCCAGTACTACTTTTTTAGATTTGATTTAAAAACATTTTTAATTTTTTGTCCCTTATAAAAAGTAGGACTTTGCCCATAAGAGGTGAAGTTTAGCAGCGAGGTCAAATCTATAGGTTATAGGTAATTAGGAATACTGTGACCAATATTTCATCTGTTATAAAGGAATCATCGTTGTTTCGAGATCTTCGTTAAGCTTAAGGCATTTTATCAGATTCCAAAGGTTTGTTAAAGACTTTTCAATCCCATGAGTAGGAAGCAGCGTCCATAGACCTTTACACCTACAGAAACATATTCAGCTGTTTCTTCTTCCTGCCAGTACCTGCATAACCTTAATTCTGCTACTCCCAGTTTATACATATACTTCTGGACTTTGCAGTATCCAGTCAGCAGCCTTACTGCCATTCTAAGTGAGGTCAGTGTATGGGTAAAAGGTTATTAGGTGTATGGCGACCAACCAGTGTGCAAGCTCAATTATTGTTTAGAAATCATCATTAAGCTTAAAGGCTTTTATTACAGATCCCAATGTGAGTATCTTTCAGTCTTGGCATTTCATTCACACCAACAGAACATGTGTTCTGCTGTTTCTTCTTCCTAGCAATATCAGGATTTTTTCTGCTACTTCAAGCCTCTGGAGTCATACTGCACAGTCAGCATTCTATTATCTTTCTCAGCGAGGTCAGGCCTATGGGTTTTAGGTTATAGGTTATTTGGAGTAAGGAGACCAATATTGGTCCATATTGTGAACGCTCCATCATTGTTTAGAAATTTTCATTAAGCTTTATGGTTTTTATTACCAGATCTTAAAGCTGTGTGTATCTTTCAGTCTTGGCTATTTCTCTCCCAAGAGTAGAAATCTCAACCTGTTTTTTATTTTTTTAAATTAATTTTTGTAATTATTACTGGCAATATCTGGTTTGTATCTACTGCTCAGTGACTATATATATATTATCCAGTCATACTATCATTCTAAGCTAGGTCAGCACTATAGTTTGATGCCAACTATTTTTCTTGCAGGAAATGTTAGACAGGCTTAGTGAATCAAAATGATTTTATTTCACTAAAATACTATTATCTTAATTCATAATGCCATGTTTCATTAAAAAAACTTATGAAAAACACATACAAAATTCTATTTAACATCCTTAAATAGTTTGTTCTTTATTTCTTCATTTTGGTTAAATATTGTGAAAATGTTATGCTACGACAAAAGTCCAATTTTTGAGGCTTATAATTTAAAATGGATTGTTTGTTTTAGCACTGCAAAAGAAGTAAACCTTGAAAAGAATGTTTCTGTTGAAAAAACGGCAAAAGTTAGCAATCAGTTTCAATCTTTTCAACCTGATGAATGTGAAAAACCTCAACAAAAAACATCGTCGGAGAACAGCTCCATCACAGTTATCGTAATAATTAATAATTTTCGTGTCATCGACTTTTATAACCCATTTTCATTCTTTTTAGAAAGACGAACTCATACCACCGAGCACACCTTCTGAGATTTCTTTTGACATATCGATGAATTCTCAGTTGAGCGTTTTTCTCAGTGAGGTCAGAATGAGCAATTCTGAAATCAGGATGAACCTGAATCGTGTTACAGACAAAGTCGATTCTCTTATAGACAAAGTATATTATTTAAAAATAGGCTTGTTAAATTTTCATTACTGTTTTAACTATTCTTTGAGGTGGAAGCGACAAAAGATACAACCACAAAATGGAAACCATTTGTAGAGAAGGTCGCCTCCCTTGAAGACTGCATATCGGCACTTGTGGATCAGAATCAAACCGCTTTGTCAATGTTAAGGAAACTCGGGGCTGAAGGGAACAAAGAGATTGTTTCTGAAGTGTCTTCATTAATAAAAAGAAACACGATGCTTGAAGAAAATGTAAAAACTGCGAATGAAGCGATCAAAAATTTGGAAGTGGGTACACTGATCGATTTATTTACTAGTTGATATTTATAAATTTTTTTACGCTTAAATTTGAACAGGAAAAAATCCAGGTTTTGGAGAGTCAAATTCAGAATTTTACCTCTGGAAAAGAAATTTCTAAACATAATACCCTAACGAATTCGCAAACTTCATACTTTGAAAATAGGATACAAGAATTGGAAAAATTAAATAAAGATTTGGAAAATCACAATGTCATATTGTCAAAACATGCAACGTTACTTTTAGATGAAAAAAAATCACAAGAGAACAAATTCTCTTCAGAACTGAAAGGTAATTAATTTATATATGTTTATTTTTTTCCAAAATAAATTAGTATTTGCTTCAACAGAAAAAGAAAAAGCTTTGAAGTTGATGTCTGCTCAGATAAAACATTATGAAGACAAAGAGCTAATGGACAGGAATTTAACAGCAGGAATAAAAAAAGTGCTTAATTGTGCAGCTAGAGCTTTAAAATTTCAGTTCAAAGAACTTGGTGATGACCATGCTGTTGATGAAATTATTTCTGACACGTTATTGGTAAGGATGTGTTGTAATAATTATTAAAAAAATTACCAAGGTATTATTGCAATTTAGTCTGTGTTGGCAGAACAATATTTGTTTAAATTTTTTTCTTATGTATGTGTTGTTGAGGAGTTTGTTCATCACTGATCATTCTGATCTTACTTTCTTTAAAACACACCTTTGAAGATAGTGTGAAATTTATCAAACTAAAACAAACAATAAGAATTTGTTGTCCTTGATGATTTATTGCTGGTTAAATCTGTAAAACTATTACTGTCATTATTGAAAGACATTTGTTATAATAATGTTTTTTTTTAAATGTTAAAATAATTTTTATTAGGATTGATTCATTTTGAATTTATATAGGAAGTGGCGCACGATTTCCTTGGAAACTCTTCATCCAGTTCGGGCATATTCCACTGCAGCTGTCAGACAAGTTCGACCGACATTTCACACGAGCGGGAAAATCCGGAAAGCCCCCAGAAGTTGAGAATGTGCAAATCCAATCCCGGTATAAAACCTTCTCCTTTTCCTAAGTCTATACCTAAACCTAAGCCTAGGCAAATGACAGAGACAACACCGTCAAACAGCGCAGATGAACAGACCAAAGACAAACATCTCGCTGTTGTTTACGAAAATGTAATTTTAGACCTAAAAAATAAAAACGATCCGAGTTCACAAGATGAAATTAAACATACAAAGCATGAACAGACTAAACAAAAAAATGAAACAAAATTGCTTGATAATAGTTTATTATCTTCCTCTAATTTTGTCCCTTTGATTTCTAATGAACCTCCTCCTTTACCTGCATTTACTGAGTTTGACGATCCTGTCTTAAATGAAGGTAAGTGTACTGTAAAAAATAGTTTGTAAATAATTTAATAATCTTTTACATTTTATAAATTAATATATACTTATTATAGTTATTTAATTTGTTTTTAGATTTGACGTATGAATATTGTCAGAGTGAAGAGAACAACTTTATACAAGATGAAGATGAAGTAAGTTTAATTAAAAAAATAAAATAAAATAAACCAAGTATTTTTGTTGTCAATATACAATTTGTAGTGGAAAGGTCAACAATTGCCTTTGGAATGCAATGAAGGAACAGATAAGGAGGGTGACGAAACCGCGTCATACAATAGTCATGCTAACTTGTGAAATTTGTTTTCATATCATTGTTAAAAAGCTATTAATAAATTTTTATATAATATTCTTAATATTGTTAACAATTTGTTATTATATTGTATATGGATTAAATTTATTTTTTTCTATGTTTTTGGTGTATGACTATAAATGTAATTTTACCCTAAATGTTTTTTTCCCCTCTTGGTGTCACTGGTGATGATCCCATTCTCTCACAGTGACACTTCTTTATATCCACTTTTTGTGATAGCGTGTATGTACTATTTTTGGGCAAACTTTTTGTAATCACATAAGTTCTGACGGTTTATGTCTCAGTTTTTTTCATTTTTTAAAGGTTTAAACGAGCAATGACGAGTATAAAGGCATATTATTTTTCTTAATAACTGTCTGCTGAGAGAGGTAGGTTTTCACTTTCCTCATTGTGATGGAGAGAAATTTTTTTGATTATTTTACACCTGGTGAATTCATCAACCAATTTTTCAATTCCAATTTGTGCTTCTGGACAAAAAGGATGTGAGGTATGCTCCTGATTTTGTTAGTCTGTTTATTGCCTTCAATGCCTCCATGTCCCGACATCCACACAGAGTTAACCGATTTTCCCAACAGTTGGAGACATGTTAAGTATGCCCTGATCAAGTTTAAGTTGTAGAAATCTAAAAGCTTTCTGTGCTGCTTGGCTGACTGATAATATATTGTCCCTTTTTCTTGTAAACTGACTTTTCTAATCTAATAGTGTGAGAGGTAAAAATTTTGCTAGGCCAAAATTTGTGCTTTTAAACCCTGCTCCCACTCAAAGTTCCATTTTGGATTCATCTGTGTACTAAGGCTCTTTTCGTTTCAAGGTTTTCGATCTTTCAAACTTTAAGAATGGTGTTTTTTTTAAAGGCCAATAAAATTGATATCCTTGAAAGATCGAATAAAATCTTGGCATAGTTCCATTTCTTGATACACCACTCCTTGAGCTCATAAAATTCAAAAGATAGTTGACTAGTTGAGGTTGTTTGACCTGAAAACATGTATTACAATTTTCATGGGTTAAACTGAGATATGGTCTAGGATTTTTAAAAACAATAATTGGGCAATTTTTAAAAATCATATTTTATAAATAGAACTTTAACTAATGGAAGGAGAGAGGATTTTTAAATTATGAACTTTACACTCGCACAAAATTTTCTAAACTTTGTGCCTTCAAAATGTCAAAAATTGTGTATTTTTGAGCAAGTGTTTTTTTGATTAGTTGTGTGTGTAACGTTTGTTTTTGTATGGGTGTGAATAGTTTGTTGTATTGGTGTGTTGTGAGTGCTTGTGCGTGTGTATGTGCGTTGGGAAAAAAGAACGAGAATGTGATATGAAGAATTTTTGCCGTAAAATATCTCCTTTTCTAATAATGCACGTGAAAAGGGAAATTTTGTGTCGGGTCTCTTTACAGTCAAGGAAGCAACTGGGCTGGAACGCTAAGAGATTTTAACGCCGAAGAAAAGGAGGAGGAAGGAAACTTTTTCGGTTTTACTTCATCTTTAGTATTGAGATCCACCGTTTATAGGTCATCAGTAATGTAAATAAGTGAAAATATTACATAAGATATCGATTATTTCAGAAAAACTACTACATTTCCTATCTTGCGATGTTATTTTTGTTTTCTTCCTATCGTTGTGGTCCTATTCTCACTTTATTACTGGTTACTACGATTCTCTGCCTGCGTGCTTTTATGGCATAAACGCATAAATCTTTGGCGTCTGTTTCGAACGGGATCTACGGGAAGCAGTTGCTAATCTTCCGGGTACCACTCCCGAACGTTCCGATACCCGACTGAGAGGTACCATCGCACTTAAGTTCTCCGAGTTCCTAATCACTCGGTAATCCTAAAACTACTCGACGCGTTTTATGCAGTCCTCGAGTGATGTAAATATTAAATTCTCATTAATAGAGTTCAACAGGGGGAGAAGCGGATTAAGTCAAGCAAACACAATGGGTGGAATGCACATCCGAACTCCAACAATTTTGATGCCTCTGCAAAGAAACGTAGGGGCAGCTTTATCATCGGGGCAAACAATCTTCTTGCAATACTGTCACAGTCCTTGGAAAGTTGGGACTGAGGTCTTCAAGGAAATTTGAGATCGCCTGTAAAAAACTTAAACATGTCAATCTGCAGACATATTTAAGATTGTTTTGCCCTGATGATGACCTTAAAGTAGGTCGAAAGGTTGGTAGTAACAACTGAATTTGCTTTCAGACCCTTGATCTTCAAGTCCATACCTTGACCCAGAGAGTTCGTGAAAAAGTGGTCAATGTTTCTGATACAAAAATCCACTAGTTTATTTGAAAATCCGTTTTTTGGGGGTGTTAAGGCAGTCCAAGACTTGGAGGTAATCTCGTAGGGTTGAGAGCCTGACTGTCTGAAAGATGATTGTTGTACTTTTGAGATGTTTTTGATTGATATCACCATCTTGGTGTACATCCGAAGCAGAATGGTCTACAACCCCAGTTTTTTACCTGCTATCCTTCTGGATACCATCAACGCACGTGCGGCTGTTTTTTTATAGTAGCGCCAATAGGTTTCCTGAATGTTGGTGTTTTACCTGGTGTGACTCATAATTGCAGTCCTAAATAAATTTCAAAATATATAAAGAACATGCTTTTCTTGACGATTCATTACAAAAAAAGAAAATATTCTTACTATACAGAAATATAAGGAAAATAAAAAAGCGTGTTAAAGTTTAAAAAGGTGATAAATTTTTGTCTCAAATGTATTGAAAAACCGCCAAAGCTGTATAATACGACAGACCAAATTGGCAGAATTTCATAGTTTTCTTGGAAGATGGTCATTAGCTAGATTTCAAAATATTTTAGATCTTGCCAGGATATCAAACAAAGAAACAAAAAGAAAAGAAGAGAAAGTTGAAGAAAAGGCTTACTATTTCACTATTCTTGAGAAGGTACACGTGACAAAGATCTAACTGGACGATCTTCAGAAGTTCTTATCGTGCACCATCAAAAAACCCCAAACTAATGGTGCCAAAGATTGTATTAATAATAAAACGAAGAATATTAGTTAAAAAAAAGTAATTTTTATTACAGAATGGTTTTGTTTTAAAATCAAAGTTATCGACTCATCCGGATTATAAGTTATGATTTTCGGTTGTTTCTGAAGTTTTGCTTATAGAAACTTTATCTTGGGATTAAGTACTGGTTATAGTAGTTTTTTCACAATAAATTTTTTTTTGACTGCTGAAACGAGCGGTATAGATGTTGTCTTCGATCCGGTTCAGACATCTTTCAGAGTTCAGTTTCAGTTTATTCAGATGTGACGTGGCGTCGCTTATTAAACCTTATGTCTCCTCCACCACTCCCTCCTGTGCCCCCTTCGTTCCCTCTTTATCGTACTTTCTCTTTTCATCTCTCTTTCCTTCTCTCTCCCACTGCCACGCTCCGTGGCATAACCCACCCGACCGCTCTCGGCTAAGCCCACCAGACGCCCGCCACGACTCTCAGTTCTCGTCTAACACACGTCAGAAAACAATCCGTTCGATTAACGAATTTCAGTGCCTTATTTTTTCCATTAAAATCCACCAGTTTTTTTAACACAATCAGGATATATTCAATGAATAATTAAAAGGTAGGTGAATAAGAGAAAAAATTACTTAATGTATGTGTAAAACATAAATATTCACATATTAAACATAAACCTGCATCAAAAACAAACATTTTTATTTATATTTAGAACATAAATTTAACAATAACACCTATAAAAAGAGATTTCGCCACATAAATAAGCCTTGGATAAAACCAGTTTTGTGTCACAATGTTACAAATCAACATAAGGAAGACAAAGAATCGCTTAGGCCTTTATAATTAAACCTTCTCTGTACGAAATGGATTTTTATTGATATCTCTATCGATAAATACAAAACGAAGAACTATCATTGAAAAACTATTATAAGAAGTAAAACAGTTAAATATTTTATCCTAGTAAGAATTAATCATTTAAATTGAACTTTTAAAGCACAAGCTTTCGCCACAGGGTACAAAAATGCACTTTTCATTTACATTTTTGAAATAATAAATAAAACGCAATCTAATTCATTCAAAGAACTATTAATAAAAAGCTGGCAAGAGGAGATAAACAATAAAACAAATTAAATATAAATGCATGTATCTTTACTTCGGACTAGCTTATCCATTTTGACTGAAGATGGTTGGCTTATTAATACGTATAGATAGACTAGAGTTTTAGTAAGAATTTAGTAAGAATTAGTACTTTTATAGAACAACCTTTGGGACAAATGTACCTAGGGAAAGGAAAGCGACAACGAGTCGGTTTGGCTTTTGTAAAGCTTCATAATCTATCAAAATAGTGACTTTTTTATTGATATTGCTTCATTGATAAAATAAATACAATCTGATTTACTGAAATAACTATTGATACAGACACAGGAAGAGAAGATAAACAATAAAACCAATTAAATATAAATTTACACATGTCTCTTATTTCCATTTTGACTGAAGACGGTTGGTTTATTAATACGTATAGATAGACTAGAGAACAGACTATTTAGTAAGAATTAGTACTTTTATAGAACAACCATTGGGACAAATGTACCTAGGGAAAGGAAGGAAACGACGAGTCTGTTAGGCTTTTGTATAGCTTCATAATCTATCAAAACAGTAACTTTTTTATTGATACTGCTTCATTGATAAAAAAAATACAATCTGATTTACTGAAATAACTATTAATACACGGAAATAGAAGATAAACAATAAAACCAATTAAATATCAATTTGAACATGTCTCTTATTTCCATTTTGACTGAAGACGGTTAGTTTACTATTATGTACGTGTAATAAACAAATAAGTGATTTAGTAAGAATAGTAATAAAATTAGTACTTTTATGGAACAGATTTGAGGGCAAAATTGGCCAGAGAAAGGAAGACTACGATGAGTCGCTTTGGCTTTTATAAAACTTCATAATCTGTCAAAAAAGTAACTTTTTTATTGATATTTCTTTATTGGTAAATGCAATACATTCTGATTTACTCCAAGAACTATTAACAAAAACCTGGGAAGAAAAGATAAACAGTAAAACCAATTAAATATCAATTTGAACATGTC